AAGTGATCAGCATACACAAAACAATTGAAATGTAAGAAACAATTAAGAATATCGTTAATAAACATATTAAATAAAACTTGCCCCAAATGTGATCCCTGGGGAACTCAGGATGTGGTGGGAAATATGTCAGAACTGAACCCATTAACAACAACAAAATAATTTCAACCTTCTAGATAAGACCAACCTTAACTTAACAAATCTTAACCATGCAAGAATAGGGCCAGAAATACCGTTAGCTTCTAACTTTCTTAAAAGCATAACTTGTGATACTCGGTCGAAAGCCTTACTGAAATCAGTATATATAACATCTATTTGGCGTTGCATGTCAACAGCTTTCACCCAAGGTTTCAGCAAACGTAACTAAATTAGAGCAAGTCGAATGAAATTTGACAAATTCATGTTGATCATCTGTAATAAACTGTTTTGCATAATTTTGGATATAGGGACATACTAATGATTCAAATATTTTGGAAAAGGTTGATAATATTGAAATCGGTCTATAATTACTAACTAAAGTATCTAAATCCGCTTTATGTACAGGGATAAATTTTACAAGCTTCCACATATCTGGATAGCATCCTGTTTGTACATTCAGCGACATAGTAAGGTGAAATAGAATTTGGACCAACTCCTTTTTTTGGTCTAAGGCCTTTAATTTTTTTAAACTGATTTTTCATCCAAAACTAAAGTGCCAAAATGATAATTATTGTTATCTAAATATGTTAAATATTGGTTATTTTAATCATATTTATTAAGCCTGTTAGGATTGTCTACGGTGTATACTGAGGAGAAATGTGGGGCAAAATGATTACATATATCAGTCCCATCTGTTACTACCATTACATATTGCACTTCGATACCTACTATTGCCACACTGTTTATTTTTATGTAAGACCAAAAAACTAGATTTTGTGACAATATTTTCTTCTATGCATTAGTAGTTCCTTAGGCGATAAAAATATCCGTAGTTTGCAATGCTGGCTTACAATATCAGCTGAGTGATACACTGATTAATAAACGAAACTCACCTCTCAAGTGTGTGTACTTGAGATTGTGACGGCTCATTATTATTATTATTATTAGGAAATAATAATTAAATTGTTTACATTTAAAATTATGTAATAATTTGAACAATTAATATGTGTTAATAAGCATAAAGTTTAAATATATTCATTTCGAATATTAAGTGTTATAGTATAATAAAGACTTAATATTGTCTTTAAAAATCTTAAAATTTATTAAAACTGTGCTTAAAATAACAATTGGTCAAAAAAATTCTAAGTTAATGAGGATGTTCTTTTATTATAGCTTTAATAAGAATAAGGATGTTCATACCTTAAACACTAGGAACAAACATAAGCTTGTAATGCCACTTACAAGACTCCACAGAATTAGTAATTCATTTATGGGGCAATGTATACGCTTTTACAACAGAATCCCAGAACATGTTCAAAGTTTGTCAATAAACAAGTTTAAAAGTTTTATTAAAGAAAAACTGTACAAAAAGGGTTATTATAATATCAAGGAATACATGAGTGAAAATAACCCCTGGGAATAAGGTGATCGCCACCATGCTGGTTCTATGAAAATTCATTTAAAATTGTATAATCAAAATTATTGTTAAGTGAAATTATGTTTAAAAAAAAAGTCCCGCTGGGTTTCTTGCTGGTTCTTCCCAGGACAGAGGTATTTTCCGAACCAGTGGTAAATAAAATAATGACTTTCAATAAGTATTATGTAATAATCCATATTGAATAAAAATCATTCTATTCTATTCTATTCTATTACTGAAGTGTTCTAGTATTACTGGAGTGTTAATGTATCATTACAAAGACCAATATATGGTTAATACACTGGTCACGTAAATTTGATATATTTTTATATATCTTACAGATATAGATTTTAAAAAAATAAAGTAGAGGGGGATAGAGTGTTACAAGATGCTAAAATCTGTGATTGTTGACATGGGATTGAAAATATTTTAAGAGAAATTAATTATGACGAAATTGAGTACAATGATGATATTTCATGACCTTCGCTATATCATTCACTAAAAATTTATATAAGGGATCCGATTCTTTAAAGTTACCAAGTCAACATTTTAAAAAACGATGCAGATTTGGTCAAGAGTCAGTAATATATATTGTAACATTAATAAAAGACTTCTTGTTGAAATACACTAACAGAGGTCTTCTAATATCCCCAGAAATAGCCATCCTATTAACTTTAAGATTTAATGCTAGAGCATTTTTTTATAATGCCAAGAAAGAATTTTTCTCAATTGACGTAAATACATGCTTCTTGCCTTCTATTTTTGTATAAATTAAATTTCCTGCGAGATCAAAAATGTTTTAAGTAATCAAGATGTTGTTTTATATATTGTAACATTAATAAAAGACTTCTTGATGAAATACAGTAATGAACAGATGAAGTCCAATATCTCCAGAAATAGCCATCCTATTAACTTTAAGGTTTAAAACTACAGCATTTTTTTATAATGCTAAGAATGCATTTTTCTTAATTGACGACATAAATACATGCTTCTTGTCTTCTATTTTTGTATAAATTAAATTTAAAAGGGTTATTTATAACAGCTGAATTCTACAAATCGCCATGTTATTAAAAATGCGAAGAACTTCGTTCATATCAACTGATTTTGATCTTTTTTCTTCAAAGGCCAGAAATATCATTCCAGCCATTTTCTCGTGACCCATTGACAGCCTTTGAGCCCTGTTGATACTGATACTGCTACTATTTTACGCTGGTATTCTGTGAGAGCGTGGTCCTTCCCCGGTCGAGCCGACCCATTCGTGCTACAACTATACACATACAAAATACTATACACATACAAAAAACTTGCAATGTATTTTCCATTTTATCCTCGTTACGACTCAAGTAAGCTTTAATCACAATAGCCTGATAATGGAATTCTCAAACCTGAAAGATTTGTTAAAATTGTAAATTGAGCATGACAAATTATTTAAATTATTAATTTTTTTTCAAACTTACCGAAATTTTTCAATGAGACCATTTTATCTATATATTTATATATATCATCTTATCCAATTCATCTAGACTTGCAATCAAATTGATTAGATCATCGTTGTTTGAAAACCTTCTTTGTAATTCAGCAATTAGTATGTCCAACATTACGAAATACTCAGACTTAAATGGCTCGTCGTTCTCTTCTATATTTTGTCTGGCGGAGGAACAGGAGGTACCATACGTCAAATAGTCATCCAATCGATTTGGTTTTTTTACTTGCCTCTTTGAGCTCTGTGTCCTATTTTCAGATTTGCCACAGTCGTCGCTTGTTAAAGACTTAGCTTCTTCCAGAATTTGATTATACTTTTCCTTTGATCTTAATTGTATAATTTCATCTTTGACACACTTTATGATTGTTATGGTGTTTTTTAATCTTGAGCTTTGGGCTTGCAAAGCTGCGTTTGGAGGTTGAAGCTTGGATAAGATTTTTTGGTCACAACCATGGCCATTCGGAATTCCAGATCAAGCATGACTTTTTTAATACCGATACTCTTGGCGACGTCATTACCGCTGAATTTGCCATTTTTAATTTCTTTCAAAGTCTGCAAAATGGATGAATAATTATCGTATACAACTTTTGTAACTGCCAAATGCCTAGACCAGCTTTGTTCGAGGAGTCGGCCAATCCTTTTTCCACCATATAAGGCAGCTATTTTGCCATGTAGAAAGAATTCATGTAACATGTCATAAAATAATCGAATGAAAGTCATTTCTGAGATAGTTCTGATGCCTATAGAGTGCAAGTGATGGCTATAGCAGTGGACGTAAGGAATTTTTCGGTCCAATTAATTTTCTATTCTAGTCGCAACTCCTTAAACTTTCCCACTCATTACACTTGCGCCAGCGTTGCATTGGCTAAGCATACAAAAGGGGTCAATGTTATTTTCCGTAAGGGTATTTAACGTTAATTCCGTGAAAGTGGCTGCATCAAGGTTTTCAGTAGTCTTAACCATCAGCAACGACTCTGACGACACCATCCTTGACATAACATATTGCTAGTGCAATATTTTCGCGGTTATTTTTATCTCTCGTCCCATCTTCCATTAGAGTAAACAATTTCACGTCTGATTCATTAATATCTTTGACAGTGGAACTTCTTACTGCTTGAACCATTGCTTGAATTATTTGATTTTGAATTTTGAAATTTTCAACAATATGTTGCATTGTGTGGTATATGAGTGAGAACCTCGTCCAAATTTTGATCTTTCATACATGTAAAAGTAAATATTTTTGTTTTATAATTTATTTCATTTCATGGTTTCACTTCTACCGCATGTGAACTGTGCCTCAGAAAGCATCTAAAACCAAAACCGTTGGTCCTGCAACTGATCTCTCTGCAGTCATGTCATGTGACGGCAACCTCTGCTGTCCCATTGAACTATGAAAATGAAGGAATAGAGATTGGACCTGTGCTTGTGCTCACACTCGTGCACTATAACCCTAACCTGTGCAGATGGCTAGTCTCCATTAAGACTGGCCAGTGTGAAATATGGTCTGGAGGACACTTTTCTATATATTTTTTGCATTACTTATTATAAAATACTCAGTCTGTTGTTGTGGAACTGTGTCATGAGGGCTATCATTTCTTGTACTATTATTGGCAACCCTCCTACAAACTGGTGGCGGTTATGAATCTCATTTATAACAGAAGAACCTCTTGTCATTGTGTGTACTTTTATGGCCTGATGAAGAAGATATAAAAAAGTTAGAATCAGCATAATAATACAACAATCAGAATTATTAACAGTACACAAAATAGCCAGTGTCTATGATATGATTTTATAACAAACAAACTTACAGTTCAACTGATGGTAAATGGGAGTCCATGGACACCTGCAACCTACAAACAAAGAACTACAGATGAATTGTCACCTCTAAGGACTATCATGAAGTTCCTCACAGATCCTCAAAGAATGTTATATCTATGAAAAATCAAAGATGATGTTTTGTTATAGAGACTATCGTCCTATGCCAGCATTAGACCGATATGACAATGAGGATTTAGATGATGAAGATTATGATCCTATGTCTATCGAAGATCGTGTGGCTGCTGAACAAGAATTGCGGAGGCGTGATAGAGATGAAGGCAGAGTGAGAAGAGATGACCGTGGATTGCTTTATGGTTAGTTACTATTACTTTTAATAACGCTAAATATCCTTAAACTAGAATGAATGTGTTCCTTTCTTTCTATATAATTATAATTGCCAATATTCACTTTGTGTTGCATATATTTCTATTTATACCTTTAATTTCATATTATGCAAGTGTCTTGGGTTTGATGTTCTGTGCTGGTATACAATGTGCTACAAAATAGCAGGCAAGCTTATTTCTCACAAATTGTTTTATTTTTCCAGATGAATCAGATGAAGAGGGTGCAGATGCACCTCGTGCCAAACGACGTCGGGCCGCCGAGAAAGCTGCTGCTGGTACGGATGAGCAGGTTGAAGAGGGCATTGAAAGTATAGAGAACCTTGAGGACACGAAGGGATATACCACTAAGGAATGGGTCTCCATGTTAGGTCCTCGCACGGAGATTGCTAACAGGTCAGTCAATGTTTATTTTTTGAATAAAAAATAATATAATTTATATTTTAGTAGTCTAAAGAGTATGTGATGATCTGGTAAGAGATGCAGGAAGGAGGTATGGATGCAGGTGGTTCAGGACCAACCTTTGTGGCTTTTTGGGGCAGGTCTATTGTCAGAAGTGGACTTGTGAAGAGCTGTAATAACGATTACGACGAAAGTATATTTAATGTAAAAGGATAATAGTTTTGTGTGATTATGGCATGAGACAATACCCACAATCATTTTTCACAATATTAGATCCGGCTGCTATTTGCACCAATTTTTCGACCGTGTGGGCGCGGCATATTAAGAATCTATCAATCCATTTTATCCCATCAACCAAAAAATCTAAAATAAATAAGCGTATAATTTGTAACAAGATATAATGATATAACAATATGGATAGTATACATATATTTCTATCCATACATTTATACATATTTATTATGTAGTGGCTGACTTTTTACTGTAAAAATAAAAATAGGTGAAGTAAGAACCAATGGGATAAAAAATTTCATTTTTTGAAGTAAGCTTTATCTATACAAATAAATAAAATTGAAGTGTCTGTTTGTAATGTCAAAATTACAGTTTTTTACTAAACGCATACGAAAGTAAATACGGTACCTATAACTAAAATACAATTTTCAAAATTTTTGTGTCTGTCTGTCTGTTTGTTCCGGGTAATCTCCGAAACGGCTGGACCGATTTTGACGGGACTTTCACTGGCAGATAGCTGATTTCACAAGGAGTAACTTAGGCTACTTTAATTTTAGAAAAAGAATTAGGGTTCCGCGCAAAAACATAATAACCCTAACACGCGAGCGAAGTCGCGGGGAACAGCTAGTTTTTATATATAATTATGTAAATAATTATATCTCTACTTTCTGAAGCATACTAGTATTTAATATTTATTTATTTATAGAGATCACTTTGTAGGTGCGGTGTAAGAATGCCCACTACCCCATATCGTCCCATGTGTCAAAACAAACTACGAAATGGGTGTCAGCACCTTTCTAATAACAATGAAAAAAAGGAACTGTTGCTGGCAACCCACCTGCCAAGTGTGCAGCTATAGCAAGTATAAAAGCTTTTAAAAAATTTACTTCGCAAACATCCGCGCTATAAAATAAAATGTGTCTTACCTAGTATGAAGAGCACCTCCCGCCCTCCCTCAACTGCGTGCACTAACTATCCCCGTCACCACTAATCCCAGCACCGCTACTCCCGACACCACTACACTAGGCAAGACACACCACTGACGACAATACGACACGTGTTTCGCCTCTACACGAGGCATCCTCAGGTGATGTGGACTCTACAGTGGCTGACCGTTAAGAGTTAGCAAGTATTACCTTTAAGAGGCAATCCATGAGTGCGACCAGTAACTTTTGATAGATATCCTTAGGTGTCCTGAAATAAGTTACATCATTTGGAGCTAATGTGAGTCTGATTACTTGATTGATAGGATGTCTTAAGGCTATTCTTTGTTATTTCAGATTCAAAAACTTCCTCCGTACATACACTAATAATAAAGGGCAGTTTGTCTACAAAGACCGTATTCGACGAATGTGTGAACACAATCAAGCGTCGTTCCACGTGGAGTTTGATGTACTAGCGCGAAGGGAACAAGTGCTCGCCTACTTCTTGCCAGAGGCACCGTTTCAAATGCTGCAAATCTTTGATGAGGTTGCCAAGGAGATCGTTTTACAAATATTTCCAAGTTACGAACGGGTAACTTCCGAAATCCACGTCCGAATATCTGATTTGCCGCTGATTGAAGAGTTGAGAACATTCAGAAAGCTACACTTGAATCAGCTTGTGAGGACAGTGGGTGTGATTACTGCTACAACCGGTGTTCTACCCCAGCTCTCTGTAGTGAAATATGATTGTAATAGATGTGGCTACATTCTTGGACCGTTCGTTCAATCGCTGAATACTGAAGTGAAGCCTGGATCTTGTCCGGAGTGTCAAAGTGCTGGACCTTTTATGGTAAATAACTTTGACGTACAACTTTTCTCCTTTTTTCCTAATCTATGTTTCAATTAATTTAATTAAAACACTGCAAAATCAATTGAAATAATATTATAATAACTATAATTAGACTTTTTATAAAAAGTAACAATCAACTTGAAAAAGCTGTAATATATAAAAAATAATTTCCACATAACTTAATTGTTTCAGAAGTAAAGGTTTTAAGTCTTCAATACACTATGTCTTAGCACAGACTTAAAAGCTATTACTTTTGTGAGAACTAAGTACAATAATATCACAACCTCAAGGTTACAACTAGAATGTCAACCAAATAGTTACATAAAAAACATTTGTCACTAATTTTCCACCTATGTGTGGAAATTTTTCTACAAATTTGAAATGAAATGTAACATTTTTCTGCTGTTTTTAGTACTGTGCTCTCCACAGCCACAATTATATTACATGTAAAGTACTTATCAACATTGTAAATTACATGTCTTTCTCGCTATAAATTATCGATCTTCTTGTATTCTTACAAGTAGGTGACATATTCATTTTTAAAATTTAGCTAACAAGACAACTATTTCGTACAAGGGTCTGCCTTCAACTGATTACTGTGAACTTGACTTTCAATTTTTTTTTAAATAATCATTTATCGGTATATATCTTTATGTTTCCATTTTATTTTACAGGTGAACATGGAGCAAACGGTGTACCGTAACTATCAAAAAGTAACAATCCAGGAATCTCCGGGGCGGATCCCCGCTGGTCGTATTCCCCGCAGTAAAGACTGTATATTGTTGGCAGATCTGTGTGATAGATGCAAGCCTGGGGATGAGGTGGATTTAACTGGAATATATACCAATAACTATGATGGATCACTCAATACTGAGCAGGTATTTAAATTTAATTCTTCTTTATTAGCCTATGAAAGTCCACAGCTTGAATTTTGTCCCCATTGTAGTGAGAATAATGTTTAATAATGGATGTATAATACATCAATAATAGAAAATAATCCTATCTTTTTTTTTCTATTTTTTTTGAGGCTTGTATCTTTAGATATATGCCAGCTCCATCATTCCCTATCTAAGAACACATCTGAGGACTTGTGACTTAAATTTCATATGACATCTTAGCCACAACTGATGCAGGTTAGAAGGCCAAATAAAACAAATAAAAATGTACAATAATTCATCAGAGATCATCAGTTTAAAAAAAAAATTAAAATAATACTGCTCTGTAGTGATAGCATAAGAGAGCTCCATTTTGTACCGTGGGTGACATAAGAGATAACTGTGGGATATGCCAGATTTTTTGTTGCTTTTGTTAGATAACTATATAACCATCTCGTTTTTAAAGTGGTAGACCCATGTTGCAACTATATTATGGTTGTAGCACGAATGGATCGGCTCGATTGGGAAAGGACCACGCTCTCACAGAATACTAGCGTAAAATATCAGCTCAATGTTGCTGTGTTTAGTATGGTGAGTGTAGAGATCCGGAGACCCTTGTTACTGGAAACGAGGCAATCTTAGTCCTCAGGGGTGGTCTATGGTTCAAAGCATCCACTTACCATCAGGTGGACTGTGTGCTCGATTGTCTCCCGTATTCTATAAAAAAATAGTAGAAACGAAAAAGACGTAAAATACCCAAACCGACGGGCAGCGTCAAAAGTGTGAACGTCAATCCCAACTAAGACCGCCAAACGTGACTATTAAGGTAAATTTTTCTACAATCAATGCCCAGAAACAGGCATGTGCAGGTATTTTTTCCGGTAACTGTAATGTTATTCTCGTAAAAAAACTTAATAAATGATTAATCATGGTTTTACAGGGTTTCCCAGTGTTTGCAACAGTTATCATAGCAAATTACATAGTGGTCAAAGATTGCAAGCACATTGTAGAGTCGTTGACGGATGAAGATGTTGCTAACATTGTTAAACTATCCAAAGATCCCAACATTGGTGAGAAAATCGTGCAGAGTATAGCTCCATCGATTTATGGACATGATTATATAAAAAGGGGACTGGCGCTCGCTCTATTTGGTGGTGAACCAAAAAATCCAGGTAATTTATTTATTTATCAAACAATAAAAGAATGCCCCCTAGGCTATTACGACAGTGGAAACTACTTTTGAATTGTGCATTTACTGCCTCTTTGGTCTAGTTGTCGTAAATGCGGTTGCTAATCATGATGTCCTGAACCAAGAAACATCAAAACATCACAACTATGGCAATTATTCCCCCTATGGAGCAATCTTAGGGGGAGGCATATGTTCTGCAGTGGACTCTAATAGGCTGTAATGGTAACGGTAATAAATAAGTCCTTTATATTTTCTGGGACTGTTGCAAAAGCAATTACATTGCCTCATGAAGGAATTACTGACTCTCTGGAGTCTAGTAACTAGTATAACTCGCTTGTGCTTGTTCCTAGTATTATATATATCACTATTTTTTATAATACGATTTTAGTTTTGATCGTATTATAAAAAATAGTACATTATTAAATTTTCGTAAATAAACTGAGGCCAAAATTTTTTTTCTCCAAGAGACTCCTTTGGACCTAGGTTATAAATTGCTCTTATGGCTCTGTTCTACAAAACAAAGATGATTTCAAGTCTGTTGAATTATCCCATAGCAAGATTCCATATGATACGAGGGTGGATTGAAAAGTACTCGGCCTAACCAAGAAAATAAACACATACTAAATCAGTTATATTTTTATTTTTCTACATAATCACCATCAAGTTCAATACACTTTTGCCACCTCCCCTTCCAAGCATTTAGACCGTTGAAAAAAAATGATTCTTTCTTAGAGTCAAAATATGCGTCTACAGCTGCTTTGACCTCGTCGTTTGTCGAAAATCTTTGACCTCCCAAGTGCTTTTTTAGGTTAGGGAACAGAAAGAAGTCTGATCAGTCAGGTGAATACGGCGGATGCGGTAACAGTTCAAAGCCACAGTTGTGAATTTCAGCCATTGACTGTACTGACGTGTGAACACGGGCGTTATCTTGATGAAACAGGACTTTTCTTCTGAGCATTCCTCAACGTTTTTCTTTTATTTCCTCTCGTAAATGACGTAGTAAGGTGCAGTAGTAATCAGAGTTTATATTCTGACCCCTTTCAAGATAATCAATCATAATCACACCTTTCGAGTCCCAGAATGAACTGAAGCCATCACCTTATTTGCCGACAAAATCGACTTAGCCTTTTTAGGGGGTGGTGAACCAGGTCTTCTCCACTGTTTTGATTGTTGTTTTGTTTCCGGTGTACAGTAATGAACCCATGTTTCGTCCATAGTAACAAGACGATTCACAAAATCATCTGCATCGGCTTCAAATAACTCCAAACAGTCGCGTGAAATAGTCAATCGCGTCCTTTTTTGTTCAACTGAAAGCAGTCGCGGAACCCACCTCGCAGACACCTTGTGGAAATCCAACTCGTTGACAATGATGTTTTGAGTTCGTTCATAAGAGATGCCTATAATTTTGGCTATCTCTCTAATTTTTAATCTGCGGTCTCCCATTATTAAATCAAGTACTTTTTTAATATTTTCGTCAGTAGTTGACGTCGAAGGCCTTCCAGAGCGGGGTTCATCTTTCACACTCTCTCTACCACGCTTAAATTCTGCTATCCATTTTTTGACGGATGAATATGACAGAACACAATCGCCTAATGTACTGACCATGTCATCATGGATGGCTTTTGATGATAGCCCCTTCTTATGGAGGTACTTAATGACGGCACGCTGCTCGATTTGCTCCATTCGCGGAAATTATGTCCGATTACTTTGTTAATAAATTTATAAAATCACAACTAATTATCGCACACGTTTCGAACTTCACACAATGAACTAGTCTGAACTGAACTAAATAATGTGAGTAGATTTGATTTTTAGAATTGAATGGATCTGTGTTAGGCCGAGTACTTTTCAATCCACCCTCGTATATTCAATAGATTGAACCCCATTCTACTGAATGCTAACAGTTTTTGTATTTTGCATTTTTTTTGTGTTGAAGGAATAGGTGGTGTATACGAAAGGTATATAATATTTTTTTATATTACTATATTTTTTATTAAATTATATTAGATTATCTACGAAAAACAGCAGCTTTATGCTGTTGTGTTTTGTATGGTGAGTAAATACACCATACCAAAATATAACTACTCATCTGCATTTTGATGGTGTAGATGTCTATGGGTCACAGCATCCACTTACCATCAGGTGGATTGTGTGCTAGTTTGCCACCCATATTCTGTAGTTAAAAATGCTTAATTTATTTTGACTCACTTTGTAAAAAAGAAATTGTATGTTCATATTGATTAATTTCAGTTTATATATATAATAATGTATTGATTGTTTCCAGGTGAAAAACACAAATTGAGAGGGGATATCAATGTTCTCATTTGCGGCGACCCAGGAACTGCCAAATCACAATTCTTGAAATACACAGAAAAGGTAACAACAATTTATTCGAGCATGTTACACATGTTAATATATTATTCATTAATTCGTTCATAACAGCCTGTCAAAAGTTCGTCTTATAAGTTAGCTTATAAGTAACGTTTTTCATAAGAAATAAAATAAAAATCCCTTCTATAATAGGAGATGTCGACGTCCAGTGGTATTTTATTTTTACGGGATGAATAAGAAGACCCAGCCACCAGAGGCGGATTAAATATCGATAGCGCTCTAGGCTAAGAACCTCGTCGGTGCCTCTCTAGCGGCATATACAGCAGGGCCTCGATAATCCTAACACACAAAACTTACACCCTGTTCGGATTAATGAGGCATTCGGATTATAGTATGTAGATATTTTAAAAGGTGTTTATTATGTAGATATTTTGAAAGAGAATACAAACTTTAATCATTAAGTATTGTTAACATTTATAAAAAAAATAGTAGGTACTTTGACGACTGGTATTTAATGGCAAAGAAAATGCTTTATTCCTTAATTTACGCAATAAAACGTTTTCTAAAATTGCAATATCTACTTGAGCAAGGGGGTCGACCTTTGGTTTATAGAGGCATTTGAATTGTCGAGACTCAACTGTATTATCATTTATAACTACTCATTTTGCATACAAAGTGTATTATAATTTACAATATAATATAAATAATTAGGACACGAGTACCATTAATGGTGGGCGTGAAGAAAAATGTAATGAGAGAACGATACCAATGTAGGAGTAATCAAATAAACAATTATTTTTTTCTTTCAAAAACTTCCGCGTACGCCCCTTATTAACCTCGTGCCCCTAGACACGTCTAAGGATAATCCGCTTTCACTTTATAACTGCTACATTGTCTATAGCTAATACAATAACATGATACTAGTGTAACATTAATACAACTAATGTTTGTTTCGTATTATAGATCGCGCCCCGTGCAATATTCACCACAGGGCAGGGCGCCAGTGCGGTCGGTCTTACGGCTTATGTGAGAAAGAATCCTACAACCAGGTAAGTTAGATCAAATCATATCCTTTATTTTGGAAAAGTTAAAACAATTAATTCATTTTTTACAATAGTTCATGGCCTATGGGCCGTTTAGTGGCGGTGTTATAGATTTGATAGATCAAAAATCCTTGCGAAAGATCATCGATTACTACCTAGGATGATATGTGAGACTATTAAAATTAAATACATTCTAATTTCTATAGAGAAGGAGGCTGGGTACTATCATCTGCCTGCTTGGAAGCCTGTAATTATTAGTAAAATTAAAACTAAACCCAAGCATCCACTACCCAATATAATCTCGTGGGTGTCGTAAAAGGCGACAGAGAGAAATTAAACGAGAGAGACAGCAGCATATTCCAAGTAATAAAATCTGAAGTGAAAAGCACTGACTTAACAAAAACCTAATCACTCTTGTCTTGAAGACCCACACTGTCATCAGATGGAAAGACACACGCTGACAACTTCGCCACGCCACGCTAACTGTAATCGCAACACTTGGCATTTGATGACATTTCGCCCCCTTTATGTTGCTTCTTGTCTGGATATTTATTAATAAACGAGTTTTATTCTTTGCTTCTAAACAAAAGAGTTACAAAGTGTGGATTAAATGATTGTTACAAGTCATATAAAATACTAGCTGTTCCCCGCGACTTCGCCCGCGTGTTATTTGGGGTTTTAATTTTTTGCGCGGAACTCTAATTCTTTTTCTAAAATAAAAGCCCAAGTTACTCTTTATGACATCAGGTATCTGCCAGTGAAAATCCCGTCAAAATCGGTCCAGCCGTTTCGGAGATTAGCCGGAACAAACAGTCAGACAGACAAAAACTTTAAAAATTGTATTTTTGTTATTATAACCATATATACTTTCATATGCATTTATTAAAAAGCTGTAATATTGACATTACAAACAGACACTTCAATTTTATTTATTTGTATAGATTGTTAGTCATTACATCAATCATCCTATCAACCAGCAGCATCATTACTGCTTTTAAGAAGTCGACTGCAAAACATAGGCCTCCCTCAAAGAATGTCACAAACTGCAGTCCAGAGTCACCTGCATGCTTTGACTTCCTGCAACTCTTACCTGATAGTAACTCAATCTAGTGAGGTGCAACACCACTTCTACCAGGCTGCCATTAGAGAAGCTTTCTTCCTCATGAGTTGTCGGTTCTTTGAGCTAAATGGCTAGCCCATTGCTACTTCAGCATATTGATCTGTTGGGCTATGTCGGTTACTCTGGTTCTATTGCGAATATCTCAAATGTATTCATAATCATACATTATGTTTACATAAAAAGCTTATGTTCCGTATGCAACGATGTATTGAAAATCAGTACTTATGCCTACAAGATAAGGTTCAATGTCCCCTGTCAAACTAAAATATATGATGAACGTAAGCATACTTAAAAAATGTGTGTGTGAGTGCCAAAGATACGTGTTACGTGACTTAATAAGATTACATAACAAACATATTTCTAGTTTAAGATTTCTCATACATTTTACTAAATAAATGTATTTACACATAGGGACTGGACTCTGGAAGCAGGTGCTTTAGTCCTGGCAGACCGAGGCGTATGTCTTATTGACGAGTTTGACAAAATGAATGACCAAGACCGAACCTCGATACACGAAGCCATGGAACAGCAATCTATCTCTATATCTAAAGCTGGTATCGTCACTTCGCTGCATGCGAGGTAAGAATTTATGAGAGTGTGCTATATACAGAATCCTGGAAATTTAAATAACATTTGATTTTGTGTCAAGTTTTATTAACTAGTACTTTTGACAAGATTTTAGTATTGAATCAAGAAAATAATAGAAGAACCTATCCACAGCAATCTATTAGATAGCTAAAAATTGGCATGTTCGTTAAAATATGCTATAAGCCAACACTTTATTTTATTCTAAAGTAAGGAATTAGCGGTCATATAATAACAAATTGCTGATCACAAATTGTCCTGACTAAGCTTTTGATATTAGATTACTGGTAAAGATAACTTAACAATGTCTATGGTGTTGCTAACAATAAATAAACACCGTAATTATTGTTGATTAATTAAATTTTTTTAATAAACTCCACCTGGTGGTAAGTGGATACCGTGGTCCATGGCATCTACATTTTTTATTCTCGGTTTCGAATCAATATGCAGATAGTTGTCACCCCTGAAGATCAGATGAAATGAATGAAATAATTTAGATGAATTAGATGAAAATTAATTTAAAATTGTATAAACAAAATTATTGTTAAGTGAAATTATGTTTTTAAAAAAAAGTCCCGTTGGATTTCTTGCTGGTACAGGTACAGGACAGAGGTATTTTCCGAACCAGTGGTAAATAAAAAATGACTTTCAATAAGTATTATGTAATAATCAATATTGAATAAAAATCATTCATCAAGGTGGAAAGCCTCATTTCCAGTAAAAAGGGCCTCCGGTTCTCTACACTCACCATACGAAACACAAGTAGCATTAAGCTGCAATTTTACGCTCGTATTCTGTGAGGGCTTGGTCCTACCCCGGTCAAGCCGACCCATTCGTGCTACAACCATAATATAGCTGCAGCGTGACTACCACATATTAAATATTTGTATTTTATTACTAACCTACATGACTAAACTTGTTACATACAGATATATATTATGGGCTCATTTTTCAATCGTCGAAGTTATCCATCAACTAAATAATTATAAACTGGCTGAATTAGTGAAACAATTGAACTATGTACTTTATTTATACAACTCTAGTACTTAATTTGTTTATATTCTTCCATCCATAACAGCCTATAAAAGTTCACTGCTGCAATATGCCAATCCCATAGATTGCCTCATAGGGAGAATTTTGCCATAGTTGCCACGCTTGATAGGCAGATTGGCAACTGCAGTTTTTTAATATTTTTTGTATAATGTTTTTTTCCCACAGGTGTTCAATCATAGCGGCCGCCAACCCCATAGGTGGGCGTTACGACGCGTCGCTAACGTTCTCTGAAAATGTAAATCTGTCAGAGCCAATACTGTCGCGTTTCGACGTGCTTTGCGTCGTGCGAGATGAGGCGGACCCTATGAAGGACGCACATTTGGCTAAGTGAGTATTTATATCTAATACACCATACCAAATTATAAAAAAACTTTTTTCCTACGGTTCGGATATTTGAGTTTTTTCATTTTAAATAAAGCTGCTGAGTGTTTATTGTAAACTTAATCATCTATTCATTACATAATTATGCGTTGAATAAAGTTGTTTTGGAGTCGATTAATTATTTTTGTTCTGAATATTTGACAGATGAGAAACATTGACTCATCTATATATGTACACAAAGGCGAAGTGTAAGGCGGCCCCCTCCCTCAATTGCGTGCACTGTCACCGTCACCGCTAATCCGAACGTATGCTATTCGGATACACTAGGAAAGACAATCCACCGTCGACAGTAGTACTAAACGATGCATATCTTAAATGAAATTTTTTCGTGTCAAGTTTTTCATATACGGGATATATCCCGTTTTCTAGGTTCGTCGTGAGCTCTCACATCCGGCATCACCCAACACAGCGAGGTACAACTCTAGAGGATAACACCGCCGATGATATCGGCATACCGCAAGATCTCCTGAAGAAGTACATTGTATATTCTAGGGAAAATGTGCATCCCAAACTTCAGGTGATTTAATAAATATTATAACTATATCATAGAAATTAGATACTTTACGCTTACTTTACTTTTTTTTTTCTTTTTTTTTTTACTAAGATGGAATGCCTCATTTCCAGTAAAAAGGGCCTCCGGCCACCTGCACTCACCGAGCGAAACGCAGAGGTAAACCTCTACTTCACGCTGGTATTCTGTGAGGTCGTGGTACCACCCCGGTTCGAGCCGGCCCATGCGTGCGACAGCAAAAGCTGCCGCGTGGCTCTACCACTGTTAAAAACTTACTTTACTTTATGAGAGACGAGATGAATATCAAATGACTGACTCATTTGAAATGCCCTAATTTAGCACAATAGGCTATAGTTTTCTAAAATACTAACCGATACTCGCGACTTCATCCGCGTCGCTTGATATATTAACAAAGTTTTCGTACATAGGCTGCACTAAAAGTATCGGGAATGGAATATTTCCACTGTTCCTGTCATATTAAAATCTTTTTAATTGAAAAGTCCTTGGTTTTTTAAAATTGAATACTATTTATTTATTTAAAAAAAAGATTCTCGGTCTTGTCACAAGGTTTTGTCAAACTTGTTTAGTCGTTGAGAAAATAGAATTGACTCGAGAAAATTCAAGAGCGATGATTTATTATGACTTTCGTAGTGGTTTAACACAAAAACAGTGTGTTGACCGGATGATTTCTGCATTTGGTGATGAAGCCCCATCCAAAACCACAATTTATCGCTGGTTTGCTGAATTTCCACGTTGAATTTCGTGAAACACGTTTCCACGTGTCAAGCTCAGTGATGATCCCCGTCAAGGTCGTCCAAAAACTGCAGTTACCCAAGAAAACGTTGATGCTGTGCGTAAGCTGATTGAGGAAGATCGACATGTGACATACCGCGAAATTCAGGCAACTTTATACATTGGCATGAGTCAAATACAAATAATCTTGCATGGACAATTAGGTGTAAAAAAGTTGTTTTCCCGATGGATACCGCATTCGCTCTGTGAAGAGTAAAAAGCGGCTCGCGTTACTTGGTGCGTCAGAACTCTCGTAAGATTCCACGCAGGATCCTCAAATGCTGTATACAACATCGTTTCAGGTGACGAATCCTGGATATACGCGTACGAACCCGAAACAAAAAGCCAGTCACGAGTTTGGGTGTTCGAAAATGAGTTAAAGCCAACAAAAATTGTTCGTTCATGGAGTGTTGCAAAAAAATGATGGCCACGTTTGTCTCCAAAACCGGCCATGTTACGACTATTCCTCTTGAGGGCAAAGAATGGTTAATGCAGAATGGTATGCTAGCATTTGTTTGCCACAGGTCGTTTCTGAACTTCGTAAAGAGAACTGCAACCGCCGCATCATCTTCCATCACGACAATGCGAGTTCTCACACCGCACACAGAACAAAAGAGTTTTTAGAGCAAGAAAACATAGAATTATTAGACCATCCGCCGTACAGTCCCGACCTAAGCCCTAATGATTTCTATAATTTCCCTAAAATAAAGAATAAATTGCGTGGGCAGAGATTTTCATCACCTGAAGAAGCTGTGGACGCCTACAAAACGGCCATTTTGGAGACCCCAACTTCCGAATGGAATGGTTGCTTCAATGATTGGTTCCATCGTATGGAAAAATGTGTAAAATTACGCGGAGAATACTTTATACTTTGCTTACAAAATTTCTTTGTAAATAATGTTATTCGTTGCTCCGTTTGTAGCTAATATATATATATATATATATATATATATTATCTGGGTTAGTAAAGCGAGAGCAAGCGACGTACAGTTGACTGTGTGAAAAACAGCTAAACTCACAACACTGAACACGCAGTGCTTATAAAAATCGTTGTTTCTTAAAACTTGATTTCACAAAAAATCGTCCGAGGAAGAAAACATCTGGTGAATCGCACAGTGGTAGGCCGACCGCCCGTCATCCAGATGTTATAGATGGAATCACGAATTTTGTCGCTATGTGCGATGGTGAAATTTTGAGACTGAACCAGTCCAAACAATCCCTGGGTTGTATAATGATTTCTTATATCTACGTGAACACTTCATATTGAATAAAACTACTTTTTCGGATTTTATCGCGTTTGATACTACTTATTTTTAATTCTCGCCGTTTGGGCGCTTTGCAACACGCATGGTCACGAGAGACTGAGGTGATTGACGTACCGATGTCACTGCAGTCTGCAGTTTGTAATCATATATCCTAGACGGCCTCCGTCATTACATCAGATTTGATAGACCAAAAATCCTTGCGAAAGAACATATTCGTACCAAGGATGATACGAGAGGCTATTGAAATTTAAAAAAAAAACTGGCAAAGTGCGATTCGGACTCGCGCACCGAGGGTTCCGAACAAATCTGTAGGTATATAAGTTTAAAATTATTAAAAATATTTTTATTATATGATGTAACTAAAAATTCATGCTTTTCGCAATTTTTCCTTTATCTGTGCTATAAAACGTTGCTTCGTACCAAATTTCAAGATTCTGAGTTCACGGGAAGTACCCTGTAGGTTTTGATTCCCTTGCGAATGTCGAAAATTTACGGCATAAACGGCTGCGATTGCGTTGGCTTAGTAAACTTGAGTGTTTGATATGAATTTCAGCTTGATACTTCCACGCGTTCCTGAGAAAAAGGGTCTTGACAGACAGACATACAGACAGACAACAAAGTGATCCTATAAGGGTTCCGTTTTTTCCTTTTGAGGTACGGAACCCTAAAAACACTTAAGACACAGTAAATTCATTCTGCGTAAATCGGATTAAAAGTAATAATTAAAAAACTGTAGTTACTCCAGGTTAACTTTGACATCGGGACGTCGTAAATATTCCGCAACTCTGTTAGCAATATACCGCCCACCCTCATTTAGTAAACACTTGTTTATAAATGAATTACACTGCACACTTAAAACTGTAAATAAGAATCACGACTTATTTATGTTAGGTGATGTAAACATAGATCTTAAAATAAGTAGTCCTATAAAACATAAATATAATACTGCATTGTACAACTATGGTCTAATGTGCGGAATCTCACAATATACAAGAATTGAAATCGCTAACTGCAAATTAAGCAAGACTTGTATCGATCATATCTATGCGAGATCCCGCACACAAGGCGTGTATACAGCGGCTCTCGGTACTCAACTGGCTGACCACCGTGCAATAGTTTTAGCATGCATCGGAACTGGCAGAGTGCGTACACAGGGTGTTCAAACTTTTAAGGGAAAATATAATAATAAAGTACTTGTTTCGCAATTACAGGATATCGACTGGCAAAATACTAAACATATCTTTTGTCCTTTGAAATTGTATTCTTTGATATTAAAAAACATTAAGACATGTTATAATAAATCGTTAATACAAATCAAAATTAAAAATGATTACAGACGTAATAACAATAATTGGATGAATAAAAAAATACATACGGCATGCAACTATAGAGACAAATTATTTATAAAATGGCTCAAAGATACAAATAATAAAATATTAAAATTGGAATACAATAAAGCTAGAAATTACGCTAATAAAATTATACAAGAATATAAAAACAAATATATAAAATCTGAAATTATTAACAACAAAACGGATATAAGAAATCTATGGGTCATTCTAAATAAAATTACAGGCAAAGTCGTTGCTTCAGTAGATAACGTTATAAGAAATGCTATGGAAACGAACACCATAAAAACTGCCGACATCGCAAATAATTTTGCGAAAACATTTAGTGATAGCGTAAAAAATATTACACCCAAATGTAACATTAATATTCTGGATTCAGCTAGTTACCGCCGTCCAGCTAACCTCTCTATTAGATTTCAAAAAGCTACTGCAGGATCTGTTAACAAAATTATCCATTCATTATGCACTAAAAAAGCTCCTGGTTTTGATGAAATAAGAATTATTGATGTTAAAAACATAAGTGATAAAATTGCACCCGTTATAGCTAATCTTATAAATATATCTGTGCAAAATGGTACATATCCAGCAGAGCTAAAAACAGGTATAGTACGTCCAATTTATAAAAAAGGTAGTCCTAAAGATTATGATAACTATCGTCCAATCACGATACTGCCAATAATTGATAAAATTATTGAAAAATTTATCACTCGACAAATACTAAACTTCTATTCAGACAACAGTATCATAACAGAAAAACAGTTTGGCTTCCAACCTAAAAAAAGCACTACACAACTATTAAGTAAATTTTCAGATTCCATCTACACACATCTTAATAATAAAAAACATGTCCTAGTTGTATTCGTCGATTACAGCAAGGCTTTTGATACCCTGCGGCACAGTACGCTTATAGAAAAACTTAATGACTGTGGAGTAAGAGGCCCTCTCAACAAATGGTGTCAGAATTATATGCAAGACAGAACCCTATATATCAAGGTTGGAGAGGAACTCAGCTCTATGGTGAGAGTTTCAGAGGGCACAGCACAGGGCTCTGTTTTGGGGCCAGTGCACTACATCACATATGTTAACGATCTGATTAACCTGATTAACAATTGTGAAATCTATCAATTTGCAGACGACACATGTTTAGTATCCGCAGACGTTAACATAAATGTCGCACTACATCGGCTCCAAACGGACTTCACCCTTCTAACAAAATGGTCCCATGATAGTGGGCTTGTTCTTAACGCCAACAAAACTAAGCTTATGTATATCAGCTCCAGCCAAAATAGGATTAATACAAATCCTCAATTAATCGTCCACGATCACGCTTGCCTTCACTCAGACCATATCAACTGCGCATGTGAACCCGTAGAAGTAGTAAAAACGCAAAAATATCTTGGACTAGTCATTGATGACCGCTTTAAATGGACCGATCACATTAACTCTGTTTGCGATAAATTGAGAGCAATTTTGGCAAAATTTTTACTAATTAAATGGAAAATACCCTTTGCAACGAAAATGCTGCTGTACAAAGCATTAGGAGAATCTGTCATATCCTACGGGCTGAGTAGTTATGGACGGACATACAAATCGCACCTAGACCTAATTTATCAACTACAGCTAAGAATTCTTAAAGCCATCGTATCACCTCACGTAAAAGACAAGTACAGAAACAATTATGATGGTCTATTTAGTTACTGTAAGATTATTCCCGTCCATGAGAAAGTTAAATTAACTTTACTTAACGAACAGTATTTTAATAAAGATATACAACACTTAATTGATCATAAAAAACGGACTCGCAGTGTGTCAAAGGCTTTGCTGACAATACCACGATCTCAAAATCATTACGGAAGACAACGACTTGCCTATATTATACCCAAACTAATAAATGAATTACACTTTACACTTAAAAATGACATTACTATGCAAAATATAAAAAGAAAATTAAAACTACATTATTTAGATGAAATAAAAAAGCATCTTACTAAATAACTATATCATATTTATGTAAGTAAAAAATGTACATATTATAAATAAATATCGATGATATTGTATGTGTTATAATACTACATTATCAAAACGGAGATTAACTAGCAACCATAGTATAGTTAAAATCTATCACTTGTAAACAGCCTGTGTACGTTCATTTGCTAGCCGGTTTTGTGCGTCTGAGTAATGACATATTTCTACTACCCGTCAATATACATATTGTGAGCGTGTGGATCTTCGCTACGATTTTAAAGCATGTTATAAGTATTTACCGTAATATGTAAGAGACAATGTCCGTACGTAGGTTAAGCAGCACCGAGTGCCGTCGATGAAGCATGGTGTACAGATAAACCTTGTTAGGTTTTTGCGACACCGTGTTTGATTAATTTAAACTTTTTTTTATGTTGATTTATTAAATAAAAAAAAAAAAAAAAAATCACATCAGTCCCCCGGGACCATGGGTGCTGCAAATCGCCCGAAATATCGGGAATTAATAATAAGTAGTAATACCACAGAATAAATAATAGTACAAAAACAGAAATCACTCTCTGATAGCAAACTTGTGAGTTTTAACCTAGTTACAACGTCGCTAATGTTCATAATACTTTGCTCGCCTCGGAAGCGACCTTCATTAAATTAGCCTACCGATTAAATCGTCGAAAAAAATTAATGCGGCGCGCGTATTAAATCAAAATGCACCTTACGTCCGCGTACGAGAGCCCCGATGGCTTAGCGCGTTATTTTTTTTTAGGAAAGGGTAAAAAAAATATATAATAAAAATATAAAATATATTTTTTAGGAAAGAGTGACAAACGAGTACACAGTCCACCTGATGGTAAGTGGTTGCTGTTACCCATAGACATCTACATTTATCCTCGATTACGAATCAAAATGCAGATGCGTTGTCACCCTTGAGTACTAAGATGGAATGCCTCGTTTCCAGTAAAAAAGGTCTCCGGTTCTCTACACTCACCATACGAAACACAGCAGCATTAAGCTGCTATTTTACGCTGGTATTCTGTGAGAGCGTGGTCCTTCCCCGGTCGAGCCGACCCATTCATGTTACAACTATACCAGAAATATAGCTGCAGCATGGCTCTACCACGTACAATGCGCAATCCGCTGCAACTAATTACCAAGCCACTGCGCCACGGAGCCGTCACTTGTCTGTTTCACATCTTTTGCTATTTACAAACATGTGACACTCGACGGCATTATTATTGAAAGAGTGGCAATGAGAAGTGCTGCTATTTTGAATCTTTCTTTTATCGACCAAGTGTTAAACTAGTCACTAGTGCTGGGAGGTCTACTTACACTGAACGTTTTTTTAGGGTCATTGGCTTTATACGCGAAAAAATCGAATATTGCGAAGCTGTGGTCGGGTCGCTAATCAAATAATAAATCTGTAACTATGGCGTCAGTAACTAGGTATCTAATTATCTGAATCTACCTATAAATAGTAATATCTTACCTTTCGATATCCTTAGGAACAGTAAAGAATTAAAAGTCGACATTCCTATTGTTAACTAAGCATCCGTGTGCTATGCAGTACTTTTTGGCTTTTTGTGTGGCCAAACTTACTTCTCAATAGGAAAACATGTCTTTTGATATTGAAGCTGAGGTTTTGTTGTTATTAGGATTAACTGAAGAAGAATCTCAAGATGTATTTTTTTATAGGATAAGGGAGACAAACGAGAAAATAGCCCACCTGATGGTAAGTTGTTGCTGTTGACCAAAGACATCTACATCTATCAATTAAGAATCATAATTAAGATGCGTTTTCACCCTTGAGGACTAAGATGGAATCCTCCTTTCCAGTAAAAAAGGTCTCCGGTTCTCTACTCACACCATACGAAGCATAGCAGCGTCAAGCCGCCATTTTACGCTGGTCGAGCCGACCCATTCGTGCTACTACTATACTACTAATATAGCTGCAACGTGGCGCTACCACGTAAAACGATGTGATGTGAGGAAAAAAGAAGAAATTAGTTCATGAGCTGAGTACTCAACGTATAGTATTTGGAGAGTTTCACAATTTGATACTCTACATTACGAAAAGACAAAAAAAGATTTTTGTTTTCAAAAGAAGTTTGAACGAAGCCTTGAATACTATACATTATATGTGAGCTGTTTTGTGTTCGGAATAAACATTTGCCGACTTACTCTTGACACTGCTCCCATTGCCATTCTGAATATTTTCATTCTTGAAAATTGAAGTGAAGAAAAATCATGTTTTTTTTATAGAATAAATAAATCAATTAGTCTTAATTTTTGTTTCAACGTTGATTAAGCAATCTCACTGAGGTTTTTTTTTTAATGCAGAATATGGATCAAGACAAAGTTGCAAAAATGTACAGCCAGTTGCGTCAGGAATCCTTGGCTACAGGCAGCTTACCCATAACTGTTCGACATATTGAATCAGGTGAGACACTGGAGTTTTATTGTAATTCCAAAAATTTATATTAGTTGCAGATGAAAATAATTTCCAGTTAGGTTTGAACTAAAAATAAATATTTCTCTTTGTGTACTGTGTAAATTAATTCCGATATAAGATTTTATTTTTAAACAAACCTCATTACGTTTATATTGTGCACTATTCCGTATATTTTAATCTAACGAAATTTTACCGGGCTTGTGGTTTGTATGCATGCAAAATTTAAGAACTGTGTTACTTGTGAGATATGCAAATGAATGTTTGGTAATCTTTTCGGTTTTGACTGTTAGCTTTTTGCTTTTAGTTAAAATATTTGTCATTTTTTTTATTTTAATAGGTATTTATTTTTAGTTTGATATTTTTTATATTACTTGTGAATATTATATTATAGTGGTCACTTTAATTTTGTTATGTATGTGTCGAATCTCGATAATTTGAAACTCAAGGGAGCAGTGAAAAATTTCTAATTACCAAGAGTTCAAAATAACAGGAGTTCAGATAACTAAGAGAGAGGGAGGAAAAAATCAAGGAAAGAAAAGTTTCATCAAAATTCGTGATTTATTATTTTAAACTATTGACATACAATAAACCCATATCAATGTTTTAAACATTTGTACAATTATTCACAAATGTTCATTTTGAATTGAAGTTTCTCTCATATATGTAAACAATCGACAGGTCTGTACAGGGAGGGTGGAAATGGAAGGAGATGAAGACTTTTTCCTATACTACTTTTATTATTTAACTTACAAGTTAACTTAATTACTGTGACAATGTGAATACACGGGAATAATGGACTACCTAACTTACAAATTAACTTAACTACTACTGGGCGATTGTAACAATTAAATCCTGGGTTTTATATTATGTTGAATATTCTTATGTCACGTAAGTAAATTGAGAGACGTCTTTAAAGACGTGTTGTTATTTGCTTAGCAGGTCAACTAGTCAAGGCACCTACTACCCTATATGCATATTATGTAACTTGTATGTAAACAAACTACGGGTCCGTGCACGATAAACGCTTCAAATTATCGAAAGCAGGGAAGCCCAGACTTCAAATTATTGCATGTTGGCGGGCAAAATATACTATTCTTTCAACTTCAAATTACCGAGGGGACCAATTAATATTGATTTTATCCAATTTATCGAGTATTTTTCATGAGACTGGGAAAAAATTTAAATTTATCGAGAGATTTTAATTAACGAGTGTCAAATTATTAATCAGACTGGGATTCAAAGTCCCTTGACGTCGTAGCAAGACGCTCTTGATTTCATTACACGGTCGTCTAATAAATATCCGACCAACGACTTTAGTATTGTGAATTTCTTAGTTCAGTATGATGTGATGAAGTAGTTTTTTTTTTATTTCATTTATTTACTAAGAACAGTAATGTTATATTCGATACAATACTGGCTTGCAAACCTCTGGGAGTTAATCTTCATTAAAGAAAAACTATCCTTTTCTATCTAGGCGTCATCTGTGGGTACCACTCTCTTATCTCTCTTATATGCCTTAGGACATTCTCTCACAGTCAACCATTAGGCACAGCAGAGAAATAAGTGGGATGTAGTGCAGCAAAAATAAACTAATTATGAGAAAAAAAGGTAACAAAGTTCGAATAAACATTGATTGATTACATGTAATTCTTATTGAAAGTCATTTTTTACTTTTACCACTCGTTCGAAAAAATACCCCAGTCTTGGGAAAAACCAGCAAGAAACCCAGCGGGACTTTTTTTTTAAAAAAAAGCATATACATATGATACAGATACATATGATTACAGGCTTCTAGGCATTCCATCTTAATCCTCAGCAGTGACAACGAATATGTAGTCTTCTTGGTTAGACTATCAGTTTGTTTGTACTCTCAATTTTTTTATTAATTTAAAAAATAGTGAATACTAGCAATCCGCACCGGCTTCGCACGGGTGATTTCTGGATTTCGACAGCAGCGCCACCTACCGGGTCCAATTGTGAATCTAAACCATCCATCGTTTGAGCCGTTTTCGAGTTTCAGCGAGACTAACGGACAGCAATTGATTTTTATATATACAACATGTAACCTAACGCACACTCTCAGACACCACAATTAGTTTATTATGTTAGAATCATAATACATACACTGACTTTTTAATTAAACATGTTTATGCATTGATTATTTATTAATTTAGTTATACTAATTCCGGAAGAATGTTGTGGTCACAGTACAAATCCACGAGCGCGTTGTAAATAATAATGAACTGTTAAAAATAAGAGGCGATACCACAACATAATTCAAAGACGGCTTGTTTAAAATATGTGAGTCAAGATTACAATAATTTAAAAATCTAATACTTAACTTACTGATAGCCTAAACACTCATGCGACATTGTATTTTTAATACACTTTTAAAATGTCTACCATCTTGTTCAATACATTTTAATGACCGTTTTCCTAATTGATATTATCATTTAGAAAGCATTTTCACTATAAAAAAATTGTTCATTATCCTATTTTTTGTATGTATATAAATATATATATATATGTGTGTGTGTGTGTGTGTGTGTGTGTGTGTGTGTGTGTAAATATATAATATAATAAGAGATTAAAAGAACTTACCAAGTGAAGTTCAATCCTTATTATATGATGTGTTTTGTTCGAAGATATATACACCCACCCTACCCTATTCTATTTATCCCACACATGTAGAGTTATGAAAATATATCTCTAAAACTAATGACATTGCTAGATAAGTTACAGGGTTGCCAGGTTCAGAGTATGGACATCACAAAAAAAACTGAAGAAATGCGTGTTAACTAGCAGTAAAATGAAGGAAACTACATGGTAAAATATATATCGAGAACAAAACACAGAAATATAATAATAGGGATAAAAAGTTACCTATATTAAAAATGATTGAAATCGATTCAGTAAATGGTTCTGAACAAAGTACTTTCAGGATGTGCGTTAATTATGTTACATGTTGTATAGAGATGATATCTGATTAATGAACTCACAAATTTTACAAATGGATCTTAACAAATTGCTTTGTTTCTCTCTTCCAAAGTGATACGTATGAGCGAGGCGCACGCCCGGATGCATCTGCGCGCGCAAGTCAACGAGGAGGACGTTAATATGGCCATACGCACCATGCTCGAGAGTTTCGTCGATACACAGAAGTACAGCGTAATGCGCGCGATGAGACAGGTACATTATTTTTTTAATTTTCATTCCTTTTTTTAAACTTAAACGTTACCTCCACACTAGGATTTTTTTCTGTATCGTAGGGGCAGTTTACATACATAGATTTCACAAGGACAAACATCCAGACCCCAACAATTATTAGTAGGTCATAGAAATACTTGTTCCGTGTGGGATTCGAACCCGCGGCCCTTAACGCTGCAACTCATTGCTAAGCCATTGTGCCACGGAGCCGTGTCTTTACATAATGCATATTTGCAAGGTTTGTTTGCATGTCAAGACGGATGTCTGAACTTCTCAGAAGCCATAAAGATTAATGTCTACTTTCGTTCAAAAAGGATGGTAACTTTTCAAACTGAAGTAGGCGCTGCCACCCGCCAGTCATAGCATCAGCAAACTCGCTACACGGCTCGCTAAACGATAGACGATATTTCAAATGGGTATTTGCTTATGTTTAATATAATTGACTCCTTCGTTATTTTTGTGATTAATGTTATTGTGTAGACAATAATAAGTCGAAAGATTGACAGAATTTTATTTATTGTCGCCACAACTTATATCTTTTAGTAATACCTCGATTTATTTATTAATTTAAAAAAAAATAAAGCTATTTAATATATTTGGAAATACAAATAAATAAAACCAGATACTTAATACATTAATAAGTATCGGAATTATATTTCATGAGTGCTTGCGCAAGCAAAGGTGCACTATTTATTTCCTTACTCTCATAGCTCGATGGGACTGCAATCCACATGACCAAAGAGAGATTAGGCGCAGACCAACGGTTTAATGTGCTTTTCAAAGGTTAAACACCGCCAACTTCCTGACTCCTAGCTGCTACTGCGAAATTTTCAATAAAAAACACCCAATAAATGATTTGTTGGCTCAACTCGGGACCATATAATCAGCAGTCGCACTAAAGCCTGTATTAATAGACGTTACTCAACGACGCTACTGGCCGTATGAGGAAGCTCAAGGTCGCTCAGCGAGCTATGGAGAGGGCTATGCTCGGGGTTTCTCTGCGTGATAAACTTAGAAATAAGGATATCCGCAGTAGAACCAGAGTAACCGACATAGCCCAACGGATTAGTAAGCTGAAGTGGCAGTGGGCCGGCCATATAGCTCGAAGAACCGACAACCGATGGGGAAGAAAGGTTCTCGAGTGGCAGCCTCGTACCGGTAGTCGAAGTGTAGGGCGACCCCCCACTAAATGGAGTGACGACCTGGTAAGACATGCAGGAAGTTGATGGATGCAGGTGGCTAAGGACCGTGCTTTATGGCATTCCTTGAGGGAGGCCTATGTTCAGCAGTGGACTTATGAAAGGCTGTAATGATGATGATTCAACGACGAACTCAAGTAATAATTATAATAATAATATAATATTTATTGTTTCTCACATAACTTATACATACATAAATCATATTGCAAACTCTGTATCCCATGGTAGTTGAAAACTGTGTTACAGGCTACAGCATAGTAGCGTAACAAGTGCGTAATCATTTGATACGCTGTCATTACGATATCAGCATCTCAAGATTGTTGCTATTAATAAACACATTAAAACGGTATCTTAAAACGCTGTACTTAGTAATACTGTTCTGTGACTTGCACTCAAGTACACACACTTGAGAGTCGAGTTTCGTTTATTAATCAGTTTGGCACTCAGCTGATATCGTAAACCTAAACCACATCTTGAGATATGTTTATTAATAAGATCATAACCTCAAGATTGTACTCAAATGCGTGTACTTGAGCTGAGTAACGTTTATTAATATGGGCCTAAGACCATTAGACCAACGAGGCAGTGTATACTGTATAACCAGATACCTAGAATGATGATTCAAGTCAGTTTACATTTTTTTAATTATCCTATTGTTCCTTTACAGACATTCCAGAAGTACCTGTCATATAAGAAGGACCACAGTGAGCTTTTGTACTACATTCTTCGTCAACTTACAATGGACCAACTGGCTTACATGCGAGGCCTGCACAATCATTCGCAGTCAACAATTGAAATCTCAGAACGGGACCTTATGGAGAGAGCCCGACAAATAAACATCACAGACTTAAAACCTTTCTACGATAGTAGGATATTCAAAATCAACAATTTCAGCTACGATCAAAAGAGAAAAGTCATAATTCATGCGTTGCCAGAAACACCCAGTGTTTCATAGTGAAAAAGAACTAGGTATCAATTTGTGGGTACATGAAAATTAAAAACCTCTTCAAGGAGTACAATAATTTGAAACTACAAGTACAATAAACAGTTTTGTAATGTGTCATTGTTATGGTATGTAAGTTAAACAGTTAAACGATGGAGTCAAAAAGAAGTAAAAGTTTAAAATGTCTTGTAACGATACTTTGACGTAGCTCATAACTTTGTTTTTTTCTTCACTAATACAGAGATTGGAAGATGGCTGCAAAGCTGTAAGGGGAAGGCGGTCTAAACTGTATCGCAAGCACACTTGTTACTTAACTAAACAAGTAGTAAAATTAAAAATTTTGTACAACGGACTTCAATATAACTTATTAAGGATAACTCAAAAACTACTGGTCACACGTTGATCAAATTTATATGTGATCACATCAGAAGCACCAGCTATCGAGTAAAAAAAAATCCTCAAAATCGGTTCATCTTAAAAAATGTTGTGAGGTGACACACATCAAAAAGTATGTGGTATGTGGTAGAGCCATGCTGCAGCTATATTAGTAATATAGCTGTAGCACGAATGAGTCGGCTCGACCGGGGAAGGACCACGTTCTCACAGAATACCGGCGTAAAATAGCAGCTTAACGCTGCTGTGTTTCGTTTGGTGAGTGTAGAGCAGGCGTAGGACAGTTGCCTTGAACCACAAAAAATCAATGGATTCGCCATTCATAATTAGTTTCCAAAAAAATTTTGTTTATAGTTGGTCTTATGGCTTCACAGATATGGCTACTTTGGAAAAATAAAATGAAATTAACTTACAAAATAAAAATAAGTGCACCAAATAATTATTGGTGATGTTATTAATAACAAATTATCATTTTCATATAAAAATACGTAATAATTATCGAATCAATCGATAAATATGCTAATTATGATACTGGCAGCAACCAGCATATTATAATAAAAAATAAAAATGAAATAATTGTCATACTAAATTTTCATTCTTGTTTCATTGCAAATACCCTTTTTATAAATTATTATCTCAGAAATACAAGTGTACTGATTGAAACTAGTTCTCTACTTTTAATATTAAAAGTATAAATTTGTATTACAAAAAAGTAGGAACTGTTTCAGTAAGTATATAGCTATATGTAGCGAATTAGTATGGGTTCAATTTGTATGGGACGCTAGTAGTTCAATTTTACCTGCAATAAAATATCGTCAGAGGGCTCTCGTTTCCTGTATGTAATTATTATACTCTTTGGTGTAGAGAACCGCAGACCCTTTTAACTGGAAATGAGGCCTTCCATCTTAGTCCTTACGGGTGACAAGGCATATGCATTTTGATTCGTAGTTGAGGATAGATATCGATGTCTATGGGTCACAGCAACTACTTAACATCAGGTGGACGACTCTGTGCCCGTTTGTCACCATTATCCTATACTTATAAAAAAAATACAGTCCATTTGAGAACCTCCTCCTTTTTGAAGTCGGTTAAATCAAAATAAGCTATGACAATGACGAGTCCCTTAGTTACAGACCCTGACTAAAGAAACACGATCTTGATGCTTTATGTCCGTCGCACCGCGGCCTTTGGAGAATACTGTTTACAATTGAGTACAATTTGGTTCTATAACGTTTCGTTAATTCTTAGAATTGAGTAACTCTGATATCATTTCGGATACAAAAAGTATGATTTTGCAAGGATGTTACGGATATGACATTTCGAATCTGGATATGGATATGGGAATATTAAATCGGTTTCAGTTACTGCCATAAAATTATTTCTGATTATCCGTTACTTTCGGATCGGATTAGATTTTTGAAAAATTTAACTAAAATACAAATAAGTAGGTAATCATTTGGCTTTCTTGTTCCCGTACGGGATTCCGTACGCAATGCGGAATTTCGAATTGAAAAAAAATTCAAACGGAAAACTTCTGTACGTGTGATAGGTCCTTGATTCTATATGGATATGCTTCGTACGGAATCCCGAATCGGAATTTGGAAACTGAATCACGAATGTATCTGGCCGGCTTTAGGATTCGGTTACTGCTCCGGATAATTCATATTTCGAATATCCGATAGTTTCGATTATGGTTACGGAGCTCCTCCATAACGTCCCTAGTTGTCTATTGTTATATTAGTCTGCCTAAAAATTTAATTTTGTTCCGTCGATCTGAGTTCTGGGTCTCAATTTTAATAATTTGCAACATCCGCGCAAATGATGCCTCAAATGAAAGAGTAATAACCATAGTGTTTTCAAAAAGGTTTGAATAAAAAAAAGCACCAACCGTTTTTTTTTTATTTAGCCTCTTAAGACCTGTTTCTTTAAAATTGAAAATTTTCGTGAACTTATTGTATGTACAAAAATGTCTGATGACACAGATGCTTAAACCATGTTTTGTTAGATTGCTTACACGTTACTTTAATTAAAAAAATATTATCAATAAAACTGGCAATTATTAGCAATTAACTGTAAAATTTTGGGTTTTATCACCAAAAACAAAAAAAAAATCGTTAAAAAATAGTCTGAATTCGTCTAACATAACTATAGCCTAAATGGTTCTAAATGGTCTAGACTACCTTCCTCTTACAGCTTTGCACCCATCTTCCAATTACCCTGTATATCCGCCTTGTGAGTTCTGCTTTTGTCAAGAAATTATAAATATTATATAATATTAAGTGTTCATCATTGTAGTTTACTTTCATTAACAATAGACATTATTTTTTATGAAAGACTAATGTAATTGTAATGTGCACAAATAATTGTTTATGTAACAAATGAAACCAGTGAAGCGGTAAATAGAATTCTTGAGATGCTACCGAAAGCAGAGTCAAACAGAATGTGAAACAATATATGCTATACCATCATTAGGGTTTAAAGAGTGCAGTCCATACAAGTTATTAAAGTTGATATTATGCTACTAAACACACCAGTCTTTCATATACAATAAAATCCAAAAATTATATTATTTGGTTGAGTTTTCGTTTAAGTTTAATATACAACAAGTATTAGGTATAATAAGTAATAAGTATACTGTTACTCCAATTGTTTGAGCGGTCACTTTAAATGTGTTGTTTTCTCTTTACTACACTGAACTGGTTGTGGGATTTATAAGCTATATTCCTAACAACGTCCTGTGGATTCGAACTGGTTTAAATTTTTACTTTTTCGTAATTTTTGGTAAAATACATCTTTAGTTTTACATTTAGAATTAGTACAACGATTTGAGAGAATATTTCTGAAACAAATCTATCACCATGTGATGAAAATGTAAATCAATGTGCCTTATAAAGCAAGCTGTAGAGTTTTCTGCTCATACAGTGAATGATATATTTACTAGCCATACACTGTAACCTGTTGTTAGCCCGTAATTTTAATATTTATGTTTTAAATATACCACCTAATTATGTAAGATTAAATAATAAAAAATTTTTTTTGGACATTTTCAAGAAAACCGCATTTTCTATTTACTTGTGAAACATTCATGTGTTGATTAAAAAATAAATGAAACATCTGCTCTAGTTAAATAATTTAATTTATTTCTTATCAAAATCCATGAAACATTCTTTAAATAAACACTAATTTACTTCCATGAAACACATTTTTTATTATACAGTCTTAAAAATACATTTAATTACGCCAAATTCCTATTACAAATTGAAATCATAAAATGATGTTACATCTAATTAAAGTTTGCAAGTTTTTACAAAGCATAACAGTACTACCTACATTAGTTTAAGAATAAATCGCCTCTAAATTTTAAACACACCAATGACCAACACAGGTATATCTTAATTAAACCTTATAAAATATGCATATCAAGTGTCCTCATTACTAATAAACAATAATAATTACAACATTTTTACATCTATAGCTATAATTAATTAAAATGTTTCAAATTTCTCAATAAAATTGTTTATCAGGATTCAGGTAACGAAAAGAAATACAATCACAAATTTAAAAGTTATGCTAAAATGTATTTGACCTTAACTATGAATGCAATTGGGAATTGTTTTAAATGTCCAGCATTGTAAGTAAAACAATTCTCTTGCATTAAAACATTCAATGAACCTCTTCACAATAGCAATCTCTTAATAGTCTTCCAGTCAAATTTTTTCATAATACTAAAGAAAATTTAAGAGTCGCTGCATGATCCAGAATCAGAGCCACTGCTGCTATTGCTGTCACTCTCAGAATCGCTGCTGCTGTCACTGTCAGAGGAGTCAGAGCTGTCTGAAGAAGATTCTGAAGAGCTACTGGATGAGCCTTTATCAGAGCAGTCTGAGCAATCTGAGTTTCCACGTTTCTTCTTGTTTGGAATCTTGCATTTTCCATTGCTGCAAAAATTGTATGATTGATTTTTATTAAATAGATTTTCCATACTTCTTACCAATAGTCTTAAATTCAATTACACTGATATCACAATGAATAGAGTATCATCAGATTTTAGCAAATCAAATCAATTATATAAAATCATTTAGATACACCCAAGTTTCAAAGAAGCACATAATGTAATTAGTCTGAAATTAAATTTGTAGTCAGCAGAACAACATAGGTATATGTCCCAACATGCACTTGACCAATTTTCTTTAGTTTATATTTTACAATTTTATCTTAGACTATTTTTGACGGCTCCGTGGCGCAGTTGCTTAGCAATGAGTTGCTGCACTGGGGGCCGCGGGTTCGAATCCCGCACTGAACAAGTATTTGTATGGCCTACAAATAATTGTTCCGGGTCTGGATGTTTGTCCTTGTGCAATTTGTATTTGTAAACTGCCTCGACGATACAGGAGAAAATCCAAGTGTGGGAGTAACTTTTTTTTTTTTAAATAATATTTCTATATAATTAAGTACAAATAAGTGCTAAAATCAAAAAAATCATTAAAGTTAGAAAATTGATAAGATTTTTAAAAACAGCACATCCCTATAAAGCATATACTGCTTATTGGATTTTCTTATGTTCATCTATTATAAATAATTTTTTATAATTAATGTGATAATATGGAATGACCGACTGTTAGTTTCCTTAGTGCAATTTCATTAAAGAGTTAAGGCAGATCCGATTACAATGTGTGTGTCTTCAAAGTAAAAGTGAATAGACTTTTGTTAAGTCAGTACGCTTTACCATCTTTGGCTGTATCACCACTTACCATCAGGCGGGGTAGTAGTAAGCTCTGGGTTAAAACAGTAAAAAAAAAGGTATACTAGAAAGATATTGAAATTCCAGAGCGGCCAAGAAAATAAAAATCTCTACATAGTATAGAACAAAGTCGCTTCCTGCTGTCTGTACGATTAGATCTTTTAAACTATACAACGGATTTTGTTGTGGTTTTCATCAATAGACAGAATAATTCAAGAGGAAGGTTAATTAGCTTATTAGAAACAGAAACTTTTTTATTCAATATAGATTACATAAATAATGCTTATTGAAAGTTACTCTTTTGTTTAATTACCACTGGTTCGAATAAAAAAACCTCTGTCCTGGGAAGAACCAGCAAGAAACCCAGCGGGACTTTTTTTTAAATAACAGCTTACAATCATTTATGTTACACAATTAACAACACAAAACAAATTAGAAATAGCTTGGTAGCGATCACTTCATTCCCAGGGGTTATTATCGTCCATAAATTCCTTAATATTACGAGGGCGACACTGAGTTTTTAGAACTGACCACTTGTAAATGATATAATAAAAAATAAGGTCAAGTTTTGAAAATGGAACCCTGCCAATATTATTGTGTATTTATTTTATTAATTTGTCATTTGTTTACGATTTGTCACGTCAGCATGAATTTAACGCGATAAAATTTTCGCACAATTATTTTTTATGACTTTCAATGTCATTTAAGTCAACAAGAAAGTTATGACAGACTTCGATAGGCCTTTCACGATGAAGCCTCATCTCGTGCCACTGTTTAATGAGTTTAAACATGGTCACACTAATCTCACCGACACACTGATCTGCGTGAGGGACGGCCTTCTACGGCGACGACTGAAGATAATATCAGTGTTGTGCGGCGTATGATAGAGACTGACTTATCAGCAAATTTGGACAAGCTTAGGCATCGGTATGAGCCAAGTGCACAAAACCCTCCATGAACATTTAGCGGTCAGGAAGCTTTGTGCCCGGTGGATGGGCCCAAAAACTCTGTTGTGTTCATTGGTGTTGTGAAGTGATTCAAAGATTTAATGGAGGTGACTCAAATGCTGTGTTCGTACTGTACACATACATATGACTGGCTATAGCTGGATTTATTATTATGATCCTGAAACAAAGAGACAGTCTGCTGTCTGGGTGTTTCCTTCCGAGGAGTTGCCAGCTAAAGTGAAGAGAGGTCAAAGCGTGGGAAAAAAGATGGAGGCCTCGTTCTTCTGAAGGACAGGTCATTGCGCAACAATTGTTTTAGAGGATCGAAAAACAGTTACTACAGAGTGGTACACTAACAATTGTTTGCCACTTGTCTTGGACAAAATTCGGGAGAAACGACCTCGCAGTAGGATCTTCCTTCACTACGATAACGCCTCGTCGCACACCGCCAAGCAAACAACTACTTGGCGACGTCGGACGTGGAATTAACTGGGTCACCCGCCCTATAGCCCCGACTTCGCACCTTGCTACTTTTATTTCCGAAAATAAAAGAAAAACTGAGGAAAACGTTTTATGGACGCCAAGGAAGCAGTGGCTGCGTTTTAAAATGCCGTCGAAGTGACCCCCAAGGACGAGTGGGCAAAGTGCTTTTCTTAGTGGTTCCATCGAATGCAGCGATGTATTGATGTAAATGAACACTATTTTGAAAAGATGTAATAAAACTAAAAACTTGCTAGTTTGTTCAGTTTTTGATTTTCTAAGAACTTTCAGTGTCACCCTTGTATAATAACACTTTTTATACAACACACACACACACGTCACGTCACCCAGAGGGGCAGGCGGAGACTACGGACTTCCATTTGGCACGATCCTGACACACCTCTCTCGCCTCCTTTACATCCATATATCTACGCATACACTCTCGTCTGTTAAGGGTACTCCTAATCTGGCCCATTTTCAATGTCTCGCCGATTTTGTCGATAAACCTTCATTTGGGGCGTCCCTTCCCGACCCTGCCTTTCACTTCTGCAACATACATTTGCTTTGTCACTCTTTCCTCGTTCATTCTTTCTACTTGACCAAAACACCAAAGCATTAGTTTCTTAATCCTGGTCACAACGTCATCTTGCAAACCACACTTTTCTGTTATCACACTATTTCTCACCCTGTCATTCAGATTCAGCCCTAGCATACACCTTAATGACCGCATTTCTACAGCATTTATTCTACTCTCATGCTTCTTCTGCCAGACCCAACTTTCACTACCATACATAAAGTAGGGACTAACACAGCATTATGAATTGCCATACGTGCCATATTTGACACATTCTGACTCCTTACAATAGTATGTAGTCTAATAAAGTTTAATAAAGTTTTTGAACTTTGAGCAGGTTTTGTACATTTTCTGGAATTTTGTTTATATTTTATTATCCGAAGACATAATTATCTTCATATCAAATTCTGCAGAGGCAAATTGAAAATTTTATAAAGATTATAACTGAAAGATCAAGAATATTTTTATAACAAGGACAACTAATTTTAGATCATCACAGTTTTGTACCAAGAAGATCAATTATAACTAATATGCTACAATGTGTTAATGAATGGGTCACAAATCATAACAAAGGATTTCCCACAGATATGATTTTGATCTTGACTATGAAAAAGCTTTTGAATGTGTACCATTGCAGCAACTTTTATACAAATTAGAACATTTCAATATACTTGCGAATATTGGTCTGGATCAATGACTTTCTGTCGGGCAGAATATTCAGCGGAATCATATGGAAATATAATGTCTAAACCCAGCAATGTTCCGAAGGTTCTTGGACAATCGATATTTATTCTATATTTATTGAAATTGAAAATCACATTACAACTACCATTCTCCTTACTTGCCAATTATACTAGAGGATCTAGATGCCATCTACAATTGGACTAGTGATTGGCTCCTAAAACTTACACAGACAAGTGTATGATTCTACATGTAGGGAAAAATAAACCACAAAATATATATTATCTAGTTCAGGGTTTCTCAACCTTTTTTTAACCAGGGACCACTTGGATTTTTTTTGAAGTTAGCAGGGACCACAAGGTAAAAAAAAACTGTGTTAATATAACAATAAATTATAATCACAACTTTAAACATAATTATATATTAAACTGAAAAGAAACTTTTATTAAACAGTATTATTTGTGTATTTATTGTAAAAGCTAGAGATTTATTGAAAAAGTGACATGCGGTGTTGAACTGCCCACATAGTGAGAAAATAATAAATGTTATTTAAAATGATTAGGTAGGTAAAATATTTAAATCTTACTCAGACCATATTTAAGCTCTTATGGACCACTGGATGGGAATCACTGATCTAGTTGATCACCCATTGTCTTCCATGGAATCACAATATGACCTTGGCATTGTAATAACCCAGATATCGAGAAAAAAAGCAAACTACACACATGATTCAAAAAAGCTTTATGTGTCTCAATCCTCAAACATTTATCTAAATCTACCAAACATACTTAAGACCTCTGTTGTAGTTTGGATATTATGTGACATGAGACCCATATCACCATATAGATACTATGAGACTATTAGAAAATATTCAACAAAATACTAATAAAATGGTTTAAATAACAGCAAAACATAAACAGCGACTGAAAACACAACACTAAAGTGCAGCAGACAGAGATATATTCTTGATTGAAACATACAAAATACTTAGAGGTAATATAATGTGCCCAACCTGCAAAATGTATACTTATTAAATAGCAACAAACATCTGAGAGGACATCAACTTAAACTCTGCCATAAGGCTGCTTGCGGAATCCCAAGAAGTGATTCATTTCAAATTGTATTGTCATTAAATGAAATAAACTAGTGCAAAATGTGATAGATTCACCTATATATATACAGTGAACGCTTTCAAGACTAGATTGGATAAAATCCCCAAACAATAAGATGCATACGCATCAGGTTTTAGCTACTAGTATGTTAATGTAATAATAATGATAATAATAGAAAATGGGAAAAATATTTTTATCAACATTATAATACTATGACATTACTAATAGACTAATACAAGAGAAGTGATCAAAGCTGTCAATCAACATGAAATTAGTAAGATTATATAAAAACGAGGGTAAGCAACATTAGAACAGACCACTATCATATTTTCCCGGTTTAAAATTGCTTAGATCTCAGGATCCTACACGTGGAAACTAATTAATTGAACTACCGCCAATAATCAGGTTTATAAAAAAAATCTAAAATTAAGATGACTATGCATGAGAAAATTTTGAAACTAACCTGCACTGCCCTTCATCCTTAGACTTCAAATTCTTCTTGAGAACTTGTGTTCGTGAGGGTCGAACCAAAATTTTTCTTTTACCCTTGCATTCATAGCTCCAATGTCCGTACTCCAAACATTTCTGACAGCGAATGCCTTGAGGAAAAGCTGCGGCTAAGGCTGCTTGCCTGTAATATTAATATATAGGGAAAAAATATTTAATTGAGGATATTTCGAAAAACAAAAACAATTAGATGATTACAATTTCTAACTTTTTCCTTTGGGCCTGATGTCTATTATATGTCCCCAACGTCATTTTGTTTCGATTACTTTCGACAAGATAATTATTTAATTCCACTAGTAAAATACTATCGATTAATTATAATCTAAATTAAAGGCCTTTCAATCTGCAATCTGCACTTCAACTGCAATTCTGTAAGTGCAAACACAAATGAAAAAATGATAGATTTGCGTCAAATCAAATTGCATGGCCATTGGTAGGGATGTGAAAAAATAATCGATTTTCATATTAATCGATTATTTTTTCTTATAATCGATTTTTCGAAGTAGATTTTTTATAATAAAAATCGATTTTCAATAAATCGATTTTTATATAAATTACGCGTTTTAATCGATTTTTGTAATCAGAGTCATCTATGCGATGGATGTAAAAACGTGAAGTAAGTTCAATAACATGAATAAGTCAATCAAAAAACGGCGCCACCTTTATGTATCTCTATGTATGTAAAACAGTTTCGCTTTTCGTATGTTTTCAACAGGTTTCTTCCTCCGCTAGAAGTAAAAGTATTCTGTGGTTTTCTTTCTTTCTTTGGTTAGTGTAAACAATTATATATAAACAATAAAAATGTCTTGTGAAACGCATAAAAGTGACTGACAGAAGTATTTTATAATGAAAAAATGATAGCGGCGAACACGTCAATAGGCAAAAATACTAAATTGGATCTATATATTGCGGCACCACTATCAAATCTCAAGGCAGATGCCCTCAATATATGGAGAAGCTCTGAAGGAACTTTCCCTAAACTAACCGAATTGGCTTTTAAACACCTCTCAGTGATGGCCAGTCAGTGGCCAGCCGAAAGATTATTTTTGAAAGCGGGAAATATTGTCAGGGAAAAACGAAACCGTATTTTGGGAAAGAGACGAAGAATTTTGGTGAAATGATTGTTTTTAAAGTCTTTAACTGAAAATTCATGGCAACATTTTTTTTACTTCTTTTGTTTACACAAGTTTAAAAAAAGATTTGTTTTGTATTTTAGTTTTGAGATCAAAAGGTTGTCGTCGGATTATTTATAATTATATTTTTATTTTATTTTCATTCTAATCCAATGTGAATGATACTGAACATTAGTGGCATAATGATATTTAGATATTTTGTTTGTTCAAACTTAGTTTAAAAAAAACTATCGTTTACTAAAATAATGGTTTCTTAATGATTTCTTATATTACGTGAAGACTACTGATTAAATGAAATTAATTTTTACGGATTTGATCACGCTTAATTTAACTTTTTAATTCCTGACGTTTCGGGTGCTTCACAGCACCCATGGTCACGGGGGAACTGAGGTCTTTGACGTCCAAATGTCATAGTTAGCCTGGCTAAATTCAGTTTTTGAATATTAATTTTTGGTCCGATCTACGCAGAATGAGCTTACAGTATCTTGAAGTCTTATAGTGGTATGCTTGGGTTTGGATTTAGTGTTATTAATTATAGGATGCCAAGCAGATGGCAGCACCCATCCATCTTCTCTATTGAAATTAGGATGTTTTTTTAATTTCGATAGCCTCGCGAATCATCCTTGGTAGGAATCGGTGTTCTTTTGCGAGGATTTGTGATTCAACTATGACACAGGGACGTCAAACACCTCAGTCCCCTCTGTGACCATGCGTGCTGTAAAGCACCTGAAATGTCGGGAATTAAAAAGTTAAATTAAACGCGATTAAATCCGTAAAACTTAGTTTAATTGATCGTTTCTGTTTATTTTGGTTGTAATAAATTGTTAAATGGCACTGAACATTTGTGGCAGTAATTATTTTTAGTTTTTTATTGTCCAATGTTATATGTTAAAAATATTGTTCTGTAGTTTATTTCTAAAACCAGAAGATTATTTTTGAATAAAATGTTTTTTTTCGCAAAACTCGATTATTTTTTTATAAAAACATCGATTTTTATTAAATCGATTATTATCACAAAGCAAAAAATCGATTTTTTATTAATCGATTTTTGTCACTCAATGTCCATCCCTAGGCATTGGCCATCACTCAGTGTTGCCAACTTTACATGTCAAAAAGTCGTTAACGTACGCTTGATAAGTCGCTAGATGTCGCTAACAATGGACAAAGATCAAAAGTCGCTAGAAGTCGCTAAATGATCCCAGTAGACGAAGCGCGATTCTTTCACGTAACTCACGAAACGTGAAGTTACACTTCACGTTTCACGAAAAATATATAAAACAAATATTTAACAAACGAAAAGTCAAGAAATTAATACTAAAAATAAAATATAACATAAAATATTATTTATTGCCACCAATTTTGTGGCACCAAATGAAAAAATAATTATTACGCAAATAAAAAGTCGAAAAGTTAAATACTAAAAATGATGAAAAAGTTGCTTCTTTCATCGTCAGAACTGAAATCTGAAATAGTTAATGTACTTAATGTATCATAAATATGAAGGCTGAGATGTCCGTTTGGCAAATTAATATGATTTATTGGTCCCAATATTCTTTAGCACATCAATCGGTATTTCGTAATCATAGAGCTTTTATTGTTTCTTCTAAAAGAGTATTTAATCATTAAAATAGAGTTTAATGACTTCAGACTCATTCGATTTCGAAGCTTCGCTTTTGTAATGTTCATGGCACTAAATATCCTTTCAATTTCAGCATTCGAATGAGGTAACGATATTACAGTTAATGCCAGATCACACAATTCTCGGAATGGTTTTTTGTAGGCAGCATCTTTATAATGATTGACTTCAGCCCAAAATTCTAGTGTGCTATTAATGTTTTGCCATTTAACAAAATTTATATTGTTCCACTGTAAATCAATATTTTACAATTGTTGTACATCTTCAACCCCTAATTCTTTTGCCAAATCTATAATGTTATCGTTTTGATTTTTCATTCGCAAAACTTCGCTAAATATTTGGAGGAAGCCTACTTTGCAATTCCCTTATCAACTAGACTGTAAAGTCAACGCATCTTTGTTTGACTATATTTGTGACATCTTCATTTAAATTAAGTTTTCGAGCACTAGTTTCAAAAGCATATCGAAGCGTAGCGTAGGGGTTTAGATGAATTTCTTCAACTACCGTAGTTAGTACATTTATATTTGTGTAAGAGTAAATGACTTTATTACAAATTGATCGCAATAAAAATGTCAGGGTCTCGAGCAATTTTGTGAGATCAGCATTTTCACGATCAAATACTTTTAGAGCTGATTGAACTTCTCTTAATATGTTTTGAATATATGTAATATATAGGAAATTACTACCATCTTCAAACATAGCGTGCAGAAGTTCTGCTGTGATACAGGAGAAAATCCTAGTGTAGGGGAAACGTTTTTTTTTAAAAAAAAAAACAATTTTCTTTGACCTTGCTTAACGAAAAATGTAAATTCAATTCATCCCATTGTTGTAAAATGCGACTAACTGCTGGGAATATTGATAGCCATCGTGTAGTATACATTTTAAGAATTTTCAAAGGTTGCGATCATCCACAATTGATGGTCTCATATATTTGTCAGTATTCATCCTGTCGTTTGGGAGATAGAGAAAACCAGTTATAAGTCTCCCTTATTATGTACTCAAAATTACGTGGCAAGGTTTTTTCAGAAGCATGATTTACCGCTAGTTGCAACGAATGGCGTGTACATCGTACAAGTACTAGATTAGGCAATCCATGTTCTGTTTTCAAAATTTGATGCAAGCCATTATTCACACCAGTCATCACTGAAGCATTGTCAGTACCTATACTGACAATTTTTTTTTAATTTTAAATTATTATCGTTCAATGTTTTTATGATTGCTTCAGCAAGCCCTTTTGCATCACAGCTTTTGTAATAGGTGTTAATGCCAGAAATGTTAACAGAACTTTATTTTGTGAATTACTGAAATATCTTACTGCTATTTCTAAGTATTTCAGGACACTGATATCAGTTGACTCATCTAGAATGAGGCTATATTTTTGGTCGCCGATATCCAACCTCAGCGATTCTTTGAAGTGTGGTCCCAATACTTCATTAATTATTTCAGAACATTTAGTTCTACGTATATGTATGTCGTAGCCGCATTTAGAATCGGAAAAGAGTTTTTTACACATCTCTCCCAAATGCTCTATTGTCACCACGGAACATTGTTCGGCAATAACTAGAGCCATGGCTGCTTCTGCTCTACTTGAGGGCTTTATTTTATCAACTGGCAGGAACGGTGGCAAGGGCTTTTGTTTCGTTATTATTTCCACTTTTGATTTGTGTTTTTAGACTCCAAGTATTTCTTAAATCACTGAATTTGGCAAAAAATTCAGCTTGACACCAGCGACACATACCTTTTAAATCAGTTCCTTGAACCGGTGCCAACCATCCTTTGAAGTCTGGAATGTCTTCCCACTCTCTTCTATATTTCATATATTTCATATTGAATATAGTTAAAATACTTATTTATTTAAACTCTAGAAGTCGTTAGAATAGTCGCTAGATTTTTTTTGTCGCTAGACACATAATTTAAGCCGCTGTAGAATACGAAATGTCACTAGATCTAGCGATAAAGTCGCTAAACTGGCAACACTGCCATCACTTCCCGTATAATTTATATTACACACATATTACATTATAAGAGTGATGTAATAATCGATAGTGAATAATCGAACAATCGATTATTCTAATGCTTGATTAAAAATACACAGTTATAAAAAAATGACAATGTAATATATTATGAATAATACTCTAATCAGATATTTTATGTCTAAGAAATTGTGTTTCTGCATAATCAAAAAGGATCTTTTAGGTTTCCAAAACATTCATCCATCATTATTTATTGAATCCTATCAAAAATCCACCGCTGAACATAGGCCTTCTAAGAATGTCTCAAGTTCCTCACAAATTGTCAACCAGTTGTTTTTAATTGTTAGAGCTTTTATCAGGAAGATGTTGCTGCTCATAATATTACTAAGCCACAACTTAATCTTTATATATAAAAATAACGTTTCACGTTGTTTGTCCGCGATGGACTTCTAAACTAATGAACTGATTTCAATGAAATTATGCACACTGTGTACATTTTGGTCGAACTTGAGAGATAGGATAGTTTTTATCCCGCTAAATGACCCTCAACATTTTTTAATTGCGAATTTAAGGATTTTTATAGGAAAGGTCGTTGGAAAGGGCAGAACAACGTCTGCATGGCGAGCTAGTTAAATATAAAATCCATTTAAAGCTTTGATAGGCAAATTTTATATCCTGGTTAATCATTTAATTTTAACTTTTATTATTAGAACGAAGTTCCTTATCGGACGGTACGGGTTTGGCGGGTGGGAGCTAGGCGACAAAAATTGTAACATTTTTTCGTCACTACCCCCTGTATATTAAATGACGGTTCATTTTAATAGACGCAAATAATTAATTAATTTATATTTGTAAATCAATAATATAATACGTTTATCAATAATAATATACTATGAAAGAAACTTCGTTACAACCGAGTGTTTCACGACACTCACGCATGTTTTCTTTATCATCGAAGTTAATTAAGTATGTCAAATTTCAGCTCATTTGGATGTCAGCACGTGCTTCGAAAATTGAATACAATTTTAACCGGAAGGACATACCAAGAAAATGGATTAATAAAAATTTGTAAATAATAGTATATAATAATAGAGATGGCAGATAAGTTCAGGGCCTAAGGCACTAACGGTGTAGTGGGGGTATAAGTGTATTCATTAACCCATGTCGACCTATGAGTGTTATTAGAGGCGACAGAAGGAAACTAATCGGGAGATGGGCAGCAACTAAAAATTAAAAAACTGCAGTTGCAAATATTTCCTTAATATTCCCTTTATAAAGCAATTTATGAGGGCGGATTATGTTCAGCTGTGGACTTTTGATAGGTTATAACGGTAACTGATAAATCCTGTAATGTACTCTCAGTGCGCCAGTTATTAGTTATGAACACGTTACTAAAACAGCACTTAAAATTGACCTATAGAAGAGAGGTCACTGATAAAAGATATAAAGATAAAGTCATTTCAACTAACATTAGAATAAGGCATTCTTTCATGCATAGATTTTAACATTCCTTGGTCCTTTTCTGTATAATCAAGTCAATGCAAATTTGTACATGTATTCATTAAAAAATGGTATCCTCGTACCATTGGTCGTTTCAATGATTTATAGAGCCTCTTCTGATCACTCTTTAAGAGACGATTCTTGTTGAACTGTGTCGACCTCTCGGTAAATCACCAAATTCGCTTTCCCCAAGCAGCGATTCTCTGCTTCAGGTCGTTTATGCGTTCCGTCAGTTTTTGCGTAATATCCGGTTGTGACAAGGAAAACTTATATTTATCCCAGCAAACGCCATCCTGACGGTACGCACAATTCTCTGTCTATTATTACCCGACCTGAAGCTTGTCATTTTGACCATCAGGGCTCTTGCCTTTTCTATACGGCCCTCAATTCTTTTTCTCCAGGCTGGGATGGCGCTACTTTATGTAGTATGGCGTCCAACCGTAGGAATTTTGGCGCCAATAATCCCGCAAACTGCCAGTACGGCGCCAAAAAGAATTGCGATCGTCTCGCAAACGTCCCAACTGGCGTCCAAATAAGTCACCAGCATTGGGTTGAGAGCCTTCATGAGAGCCAGATTCCGGTTGCTTAGGGGTGTACGGGGAAGTCGCGGTCATTTTCGAGAGACATACTGCGTGTTTCCAAAATAGCCTTTTCCAATATGCTCCTCATTTGCTCTAGTTTGTGGGGGACAATTTCATCATCGTCTGAACCAAGCACAACTGGAATATCCACGGCGGCATCAATGTATGCAGATTGCTCTGCAATTAGTGGCGCCGCATTACCATTTGTAACATTTTCATCCGATGAGAGAACAGCCTCACGTCGTAGTTGTTCGATTTCGGCGTCACCAAATATGTTGGAGCCATAGGAACTCAGTCTGCCAGGTTTGCCCCGTTACATGAACAGATTGCTCCATCTCTGCGAAAAAGCGATGCATCCGAGGCCGATACGCCAACATTCTATTATTATTATTTTCTTTTTTGTATTTTTCAATGAAATGCTCTTCGAGTGAAATATACTTTTATCACCTAGAATATATTTCCTTTAATAGTCCCCGTAACACCTTTTAAAATTAAAAGACGAAGTCACTGGGGGCCAAATCCAGATATACATTGGGTGGCCAATTTCTACAAATCCTGTCTCTCTCGTAAAATAATAACAGTGTCTCTGATATCCCTGCACAAATAAATCATTAGAATTCTTCATTTATTAAGTTTCTTTTACATATTTATACTAATATATAGACACAATTCATGTTTATTACTGTTCGGTCATAGATTATTATTACCTATTCAAAATCTTTCATACGATATATTTCCATAGTTTGGTCTATTATTTATTCTGTGGTTGCGTTTTGTTTATAAAATAAGTACTTATAATGTTTACATGCCAAACTTAGTGTTGTAGTTTGGATAACGAATCGATTTTTCATCGATTATACCAACTTATCACAATAATTAAATTAAGTATTTCGTTTGAATATTTAGCAAAACAAAGAAGTACACATATTTATATAAGACTAGCTGTTCCCCGCGACTTCGCCCGCGTGGAGTTATTTTTCGCGTAACTCTCAAATAAAAGCAGCCCAAGTTACTCCTTATAACATAAGCTATCAGCCAGTGTGTATAAATATTAACAAATATTGACATTAATATTTATACGATACTAACGTCACTCAATTGTTTTGCCTTCCCGGAACCCTTCCACTAACACTTAAACTTTATAGTATCGTATTAAAGTTCAAATTGACTTTTAAGTATTATTACGAATCTTTTGTATGGGAATATAGAAAAGTGTTGTTTTTAGACTTTATCAGGCAATTTTTTAAAATTTTCTCTCCGTAAGAACCATTATAAAAAAAGAATCAGCGAAATCGGCTTTAGCTGCTTTCCATATTTGCGCTTAGCAACACATTCAGCGATTCATTTTTATATTATAGATATTAACAGAAATTGTATAAAAATAAAATAACATATTTTTTTAGTTGTTGTCTCCTCATGAGTGCCATGGGACATTTTGGTTGATATTGAGTTATACATACTTAAGATTATGGAAAATTAAGGCTCAATAGAGCCATCATTTTTCTCTAAAATAATTCAATAATTTCTAATCAAATATCTATAACATTATACCTATTTTTATTTATTTCTTTAAGTCCAATCCAGGTTTCAAAATGTTACAGACGTTAAAGACTGAATTAGGAAAATCAAATACTTAAATGCAAAATGCAGAAGACATACAAAGGAGCTTGCCGGTTTTAGAAACATTTTTATAATTTATATATTTAATAAATAAAAATAAGTTGAAAAGTTTTCCCAATAAATGCAAAATAATATCGTTTTCTTTTGTTTTATTGTGTCATTAATCAGTGTAATTTTGAATTCCTTTTGTTGCCTTGTAATTCCAATTTCATTCACAGTTTTCCTCTGGCTTTGTTACCATGAGAAACTATTAATCATAGAGTAAAAGGCATGGTAATATTATTGGTAAAAATTAAGTACAATAATTAATTTTAAATTTTACTGTGAAGTAGCAATTTTATCGCTACCTTTGATGATTTTTCCATATTTTTTTAGATAGATTGCGCTACAACAGGATTTTATACTTAATTCCTATCGTGACACAACAACACCCTTCTTGTATTAAGGAGGTATTATTGGCCAGGTCAAACTGGGACTTCATTATTCATTTCAAATTACTTACCCTCATTTCACTTATGTATTCAGATTTTGACTTATGGATTCAGAGTTTGGTGGTGGCTCATATTGCAAGATGAGCCATACATCAAATCCTGTCTTAAAATCAAAAACATTATTTTCTGCCGACTTCCAAAAAGGAGACAGTACTCAACTCGAATGTATGTTTTTTTTATGTGTGTTAACTCATAACTTTTTACTGGGTGAACCGATTTCGATGATTCTTTTTTATTTGAAAGCTGGTACTTCTCGTGTGCTCCCATATGAATTTGATCAAGGTCAAACCAATAGTTTTTGAGTAGTTCTTAATAACTTATATTGAAGTCGGCTGTACAAAATTTTAAATTATAATGTATGGGATTAACAATTGCATTGCTTTATATGAATAGTCATGGATGCGTGAGTGTTTCTAATTAGTTTGTGAGTCATGGATATCACTAGATAATGGGCGCAGCCTACGCCATTTTAGTTTCTGTTTTGGCCACTTACTAATAAGAATAAGAAGTACTTTGGTAAGAGTTAGGATAATTTAGTTCATGCCCTCTCTTATTTTTAGGTCATTGGTTTTAATCAATCCTTTATAAGACAGTAGCATAGAGATATAAATTACTTTACTGATATACTCTTTGACTTGTAACTTTGACAGGACAGTTTACGATTTACGTGGAAGTGTTTGATTGAGCGAATGAGTGATCATCTGTGCATTGCGTTTGACGTAAATAAATTCACAGAACATTATTTAACGAGTCTGAACTTGTTATTTTTGCTTTTAGTTTCTAATAAAAATAAAACCAGAATTTACGGTTTGAGATGTCCGAATATAATTTTGCAATAATAATATGTCGGATTGGTATTGGCGGGTGATAGCCTTAAAGGCTGCCTTTGCGCTTACTTGTTTAGTTTCGTATCTTCGTGCTGATGTTACGATACAGAAATTACCGTTTTGTAATCCCCACAACACAAACGATGCAACTAATGAGTGAGTTACTATATGAAATAAAATATGTGTTTTTCTTAATATCGGCTGACGACTTAATAATGCAAATTATTCTAAATTTGCCTCTATTTACATTTTATTTTTGTTTTGTTTACATTGAATAAAAATATTCTTGACATCTTGTGCCTGTTATAATCAATCGCTTTTTATTCTATCAAGATTGTATTGTATATGTACATTTTATTTATGTCAGCTCTGCCAAAACAATTCTTATCCAATTAATCTTGACCTTGACGTGTAATCATTGCCGATTGTAGAATATAGTTGGGATTCTCAATCAAAAAGTGTTAAATCAATCTAAGTACTTTATATCTCATACATTCATTTGATTTACTTAAATTAAATTAAAATATTTAAGAGACAATCCAGTGATTAAAGTTAATTTGATTAGCATTTTTTTAATGTATAATGAGTAACATATGTCCAGTACACCTGATGGTAAGTGGTTACTATACTGTCTACGAACAACATGAAAGAAAGTAGGCTACAAATACGTTGTCGCCTCTGAGTACTAAGATGACACCATTCAGACTGGAACACATCAGTGCATGCACATACCAAAACCAACTCCTAGTCAGAAAGAAAATATAGGTGGTGAAGCCATGCTGTAGCTATATTATGGTTGTAGCATGAATATGTAAGCTCGACTGGAGAAGGACCATGCTCTCACTGAATAGCACTGTAAAATACTGCTGTGTTTCATATTGTGAGTGTTGAGAACTGGAAACCTCTTTTTACTGGAAACTAGGCACTCTATCTTAGTCCTCAGGCGTGACAACGCATCTACATTTTCATTCTTAATTGAGAGTAGTTGTAGATGTCTTTGGGTCACAATATTCACTTACCATCAGGTGGACTGTGCTTGTTTGTCACACTTATTCTATAAAATAAAGGCTTACCACCAAGTTAAATTCAAGATGCCTACTTTATTTTACCTTATCAATGTAATAGATGTTTTAATTATATTAGTTCATTTTTCTTTCTGTTAGCTCTTTTAAAAATTTTAACAGTATGTTATATGGTTTCACAATTAATTGCCATTGCTACAACTTACTGAAATCAGTTTAAGACCTGCATGGAATGAGCTTTCACTTGCCTCTGTAGAGACTCAATATGGTCTAAAATCATCTGAATCATGTCTCAATTTAATAACACGCACACATATGTAATGTTTTATGGCATTACTTGTAAAAATCAACATCAATTTAAGAAATGCTTAAAGTTGCTCCTTCTTATTACATTAAATAACAGTATTGAGACAGGTATAGAGATAATTGATGATTAACATAACATATAATGATAATTAACAATTATAGGCAAGGCCCTATATTTCTGGCATTAAAGTGTGGTGTTTAATTAGAAAAATCTGCGAAGGGTATTCTATTAATATGTATAAGCTTTAAGCAAAGTTATATATTTTAAGGAAAAAATATTAATGTTAATGCTACCAACCCCAATTTCCTCAAGATGAGCTAGCTCTCAATGCAGAATGTATAGATATTGCCAATTTAATAGATGCTATTGTCATATGTCCTGCAGGTGTGACATTTGGTGGTAACAGATCCTAAACTTATAACTTTAGTTACAAAGAGCTTATACTGATTTTTTTCTATTTTTTTAGTTCCAGTACAGTAGTTGATTCTCCTAAATCAACAAGTCACATTTTCCATCAATAGGTTTTTGAAATTTCATATAAAAATAACTATTTTGAAATTTCATACAATATTAATTTCAAAGTTGTCATTGCACTTTTTCAAAAATTAAAAGAATTTGTAAATGAATATTATGTCAATCATATTTTGTTATATTTTTACAGTCTTGTAATAGTCAGCACTCTTGATGGAAAGCTGTCTGCTTTTTCTACCCTAAATGGAATCAAAGCTTGGGATGTTGAGACTCAACCATTGTTATCATCAAATCTTCATCATGTAGAGGTATACTGAAGTAATTGTTTTTCTTATTTATAGCATAGATTCACAGTATGCGAGCAACTTATAACAGCAATGAAATTCTCAATTGCAATTTTAAGAGCTGATTTATCATATGCTCAGTGAAGGAAAATACTGTGAGGAAACTTGAATGTCCAAGAAATAAAGTATTTCAAAGATATGCAGTTCACCAACATACACTGGAGCAGCAAGGCAGACTTATTACTAATTGGATGGTCATTTATTTATTAACAGCCATTTTGAAAGTAAATAAGAAAAAAATATTAAATTTCTGCTTTATCGGCTGCCGCCACTGCATTCTTGCTTCCCTCACTTTGCAACCAAAGAGAAGATGGGTATAGAAGAGATATGCATTACCAACCAATTACATTATTCATCCATCTCTTCAATGTTTAGCTTCAGTGTATATGATTGAAATGGAGAGGAGAGATGTCTCATATTTGTATGACATGATCAAAATGGCGATATGAACTGAGTCTCGCAAGCAGGAGCAGATGTAATGGCGTCATGACATTGCATTTTGGCACCAATTGCGTAAACTGTTTATTTTGCTTCTAGTCAGCACAAGCAAAGGGAATAATTACAAAATTTTTACGTGATAGAGCCATACTGTAACTATATTAGTAGTATAGTTGTAGTACGAATGGGTAAGCTCGACCGGGGAAGGACCACACTCTCACAGAATACCAGTGTAAAACAGCAACTTAACGCTGCTGTGTTTCATATGGTGAGTGTAGAGAACCAAAGACCCTCTACTGGAAACGACGCATTCCATCTTATTTCTTATGGGTGACAATGCATCTGCATTTTGATTCCTAATCGAGGATAGATGTAGATATCTATCGGCCACAACAACCACTTACCATGAGGTGGACTGTGTGCTAGCTTTTCACCCTTACCCTAAAAAAAAGCTATAAGGCATTCCATTTTAGTCATAGCTGATTTTAGCCTTCTTTGCTTGAAGTTGTTGCAGGTGTCTATGAATTGCAGTAGCCATTTACCATCAATTTGACTATGTTTAATTGTCACTTCAATTTTATAAACAAATTATCTCCACTCAGCTCCAATGTATATGCCTTGGCCATAATGTCTCTCCTTGCCCCCATCTTAGTTTTAATGGATTCCGGGCTTTATACTGACGAAATGTTTTTAAACTGTTGACATGTGGAAACGACATCTCTCAATTCTTTATCTATATCAGCCCACAACTGCACTATTCAATTCAGTGCTAGGATTCAGTTAGGAAGATTTACCATTTAAATAAAACTAATTTTACGGATTTTATCGCGTATATTAACTTATTTTACATTCCCGACATTTCAAGCACTTTACAGCACCCATGGTCACGAGGGGGACTGAGGTGTATGACGTCCCAATGTCATAGTTAACCACGGCTACCTCCAGATTAAAAATTATTGATTTTTGTTCCGATCTACGCAGTATTCCGATTACGCAATATGAAGATTTACTATAATCACTACAGTGGATATACCACCTCCATATACTTTTTTTCATATGGTCGTAAACGCGATTGCTTATCATGTGGTTCTGGGTTCAAATCCCAGGTGGGACCGTTAATGAGTTATTTGATTTTCTGTCAAGAAATTCGCAGTAGCAGCCTGGAGTTGCGATGTTGGGGATGTTTCATCACATGCCTTGGAAAGCACGTAAAGCCGTTGGTCCTGCGCTGTTTCTCTTTCCGGTCGTGTCGGATTGTCGTTCCATCCGACTACGAGAATAAAGTCGTAGAGAGTGCACCAGTACTTGTATTCGTGCACTAATCCTATTTTGCGCGAATATTTAGTCTCCGTTAAAACTGGCTCCAGTAATAGAAAATCTTTCTGGAGGACTATATAATGTAATATCATTTGTGATTTTATAGTTGACAGCAGGGGGAAAATGGGTACGTTTGGTACCCTCTTTACGTGGCACCCTATACAGCCTCAGTGGGGACACCATCGAACCTTTGCCATTTGACGCAGATCAGCTGCTTTCATCGTCCTTCAAATATTCAGATGATTTAGTAATAGCGGGTAAGTACCCTTTTCTTCCATTCTGTTGTTTAAAAAAAACCAAACATCCTGTTCATTATTTAAAAACATTAAAAAGATCATTTAAACATGGTCGAGTCATGCTACAGCTATATTAATTGTATAGTTGTAGCACAAATGGGTCGGCTCGGTCGGGGAAGAACCACGCTCTCACAGAATACCAGTGTAAAATAGCAGCTTAATGCTGCTGTTTCATATTGTGAGTGTAGAGTACTGGAGGCCCTTTTTACTGGAATGGAGGCATTCCATCTTAGTCCTCACGGATGACAATGCATCTGCATTTTGTTTAGCAAACAAGGATAGATGTAGATGTCTATAGGGCACAGCAACCACTTACCATCAGGTGGGCTGTGTGCTCATTTGTCATCCTTATCTTATTAAAAAAAACATCAAATTACAAGGAGTAAATCACAGTATTTCCTTCTGTTAATATATTGTTATGAGAAATAGTGCAGTATCACAATTATTTATTTAGAAAACATTTGCAATTATTCAGAAAACTACATTAGGATTATTTATGTATAGTGAAGATGTTTTGTATAGTGGGCTTGGAATGTATAAAAAATATAAAAGAAAACGTCTACGTTTCATTTTGCTGGACGCAAGGACGTCGCCAGCCGATGGCCCAGGGGAAGGGGGCCAAGTTGATAGAGGATGAGAAAGTGTAAGACAAGAGGACATGAAGCTTTACAATTCTATTGCGAATCATTCCTCTACGGTGATTGTAATAAGAACGATACAAATTCGTAAAGCTCCACAAGCTCTTGACTGTACAAGGAAATAAGAATAGTTGCTTTACATTTCATTACATTTTTTTGAGTCTTTAAGGGCAGCTGCCCCTCTCTACACCCCCTTGGCGACGCCCTTGATTTTGCTTTATGACAAATTGTAAATACGTTTAGTTTATTTACACACAATATAAAATACAGACAACAAGTTTCAAAATATAGAGCCATATTTTTTTTTCATATTTCGGAGCTCCTGCTCCTGCTTGTAAAAGTTGCAAATAGATTTCGAATTTGGTTGTATTAATAGTAACCTATCGCATTTATTTACTTAATCTAAACCTGTGCTTGACTAGAATCTCACTTGCTTGCAAGTGCTAGTCAATTGCTCTCTTTTTTTTTAATAGCATAAGGATAACAAACGAGCACACAGTTCATCTGATGTTAAGTGGTTGCTGTGGTCCATAGACATCTAATCTATCCTTGACTATGAATCAAAATGTGTTTTAAGTTTAATGTGTTGTCACCCGTGAGGACTAAGACAGAATATTTTCGGTAAAAGGAGTCTCCGGTTCTCTACACTCATCATACGAAACATAGCATCATTAATCTGCTATTTTACTCTGGTATTCTATGATGTTTAACGTCCATGTCACACCTATGCCGGTAGTGGTTGGGAGCCATAGATTACCTCCTAACCCTTAGGGGGTAATCTGTGTTGGGAGCACTAAGCTCGAAGTTGTTGACTAGTATGTTTACCTGGGACAAATAGTCTGACTAGGTAAGTCCAACTTCGACCGAGAGGTCAATCGACGGATTCAACTCGGTTGGGCAGCGTTCGGGAAAATACGACACATCTTCTCGTTAGACATACCTCAAAACCTGAAAACGAATTTGTACAACTAGTGCGTGTTGCCAGTGATGACTTACGGATCTGAGACGTGGTCCTTCACTGCTGGCCGTATGAGGAAGCTCAAGGTTGCTCAGCGAGCTATGGAGAGGGCTATGCTCGGGGTTTCTCTGCGTGATAAACTTAGAAATGAGTATATCCGCAGTAGAACCAGAGTAACCGACATAGCCAAACGGATTAGTAAGCTGAAGTGGCAGTGGGCCTGCCATATAGCTCGAAGAACCGACAACCGATGGGGAAGAAAGGTTCTCGAGTGGCAGCCTCGTACTGGTGGGCGAAGTGTAGGGCGACCCCCCACTAGATGGAGTGACGACCTGGTAAGACATTCAGGAAGTCGATGGATGCAGATGGCTCAGGACCGTGCTTTGTGGCATTCCTTGGGGGAGGCCTATGTTCAGCAGTGGACTTATGAAAGGCTGTAATGATGATGATGATTCTATGATCTGTCTTAGAGTAACAAAAGCCTATCCACTCTTACCTCGAAGACAGATCGTAATTGAATGGAGAGACACTGACGAATTATTCCACTCCTTTCATTACGAAGCAAACTGTCCGAATGCATGGAATGTTGACAACAAATGTGTGAAGACCCACCAATCATCTGGTTGTCCGAAGGTGGAAAAATTAGGGAAAAATTCCTGCACACACTGGAATATATCCTATGAAATACCAGAAATATGGCTATTCTTGGCCTGTTTCTCTTTTATTATTAACAAAAGTAACCTCATTGTTTCAGGCGCTCGGGAGACATTATGGCTAGGCATAGATGCACATTCCGGTGCTGTTATATACGAATGCGGTTCCGCAGGCTGCAACACCGAGGAGCAAACCGCCGGCGTCGGTCGCGATGTGCTCGTGCTGCGCCGACACTCTAGCACCGTGCGAGCATTAGAGCCGCGCTCCGGTAGCGAGAAGTAAGTTTCTGTATAGAATTAAAAGTGATAAACGAGCGACGGTTCACACTGTCCACCTGATGGTAAATGGATGCGGATAGACATCTACATCTATTTTCTATTAAGAAACAAAATGCAGATGCGTTGTCACCCCTGAGCACTATGATGGAACGCCTCCTTTTGCAGTGAAAAGGGTCTCCGTTTCTCCAAATTTACCATACGAAACACAGCAGCATTAAGCCACAATTTTATGCTGTTATTCTGTGAGAATGTAGTCCTTCCTCAGCCAAGCAGATCCATTCATGATTCAGCCATAATATAGCTGAACTGTGGCTCTACCACTTATGAACCCACAACCAAAAAGGAACTGTAGTTTAGATGACTATCTTCGAGCTACGTATTTCATCGGCCCATTGGCACTTCGGCTGACTGAACTACAGTGCTAAAAGAAAAAAAACGTAGATATATTATGACCAGGCATTTTTGTATGGAGTTTGCCAGCCATGTAAAAGCCGTAAATAGTTTCAAAATAAAAAAGCAGGTAAACTAACTAATTTTTGAGAAGGATTTGGAACAGCCCCAATGCATTTTTACAGACTCAACATTACCTCTCACTATTTAAAATCACATAAAGTGTTCCTTTGCTGAATACATGATATTTTTATTTGTAAAAAAGAATGTTAGTAGACTGGTACTGTTCGGTACTGTTGTGTGCTACCGTTTGTTCAAAACATCGAATGGCAGATTCGAACTCATGTTATTTAAGTTTCGTAATCCATATTCTTAACCAATTTAGCCAACTGTGTACTTAAGTTGCTCACGTGCCATGTAAATATATGTATATATGTATTTCACAGACACAGATTGAATGTATTAAATTATTTTTTGTATGTTTCTGTGATATATTATTAATATTATATAGTATTCTCACAGAATACCAGTGTAAAATAGCAGCTTAAGACTGCTGTGTTTCGTATGGTGAGTGTAGAGAACCAGAGACCCTTTTTACTGGAAAAGAGGCATTCCATCTTAGTCCTCACGGGTGACAACGCACCTGCATTTTGATTCGCAAACGAGGTAGATGTGTATTAGTCACAGCAACCACTTACCATCAGGTGGACTGTGTGCTCGTTTGTCACCCTATCCTATAAAAAAAAATATTGATTATTTGTAAAATTTTTGAATTATAATTTAATTCAATCATTACTGTCTATCAATAGTCCACTGTTGAACATATCATTAAGATAGCCTCATGTACATGCCACACACGAATTGGCAACCGCATTTTTTATTACCTTAAGTTGTGTAGAAGTTTGCTGCTGCTCATCTCCTGTTTTATTTTCCTCTGTAGCTACGACACACATGTATAATTACGTTCATCTATATAAATAAATAAAATTGAAGTGTCTGTTTGTCTTTGTCTGTCTGTCTGTTTGTTCCAGCTTTCACTGGCAGATAGCAGATGTTATAAGAAGTAACTTTGGCTACTTTTATTTTAGAAAAAGAATTAGGGTTCCGCGCAAAAAATTAAAACCCATGAAATTCAGTCCTAATAAATTACGCGCGGGCGAAGTCGCGGGGAACAGCTAGTAAAAAAATAAATTAAAATAGGTTCACCTTTTCAGATGGAACTTCAGCGTAGCAGAACATCAACTCGCTATAAGTCGTCGGGAGTGTGTTGGCGCCAGTGCTCCACCTATTCCTGTCTCCGTGGCGGTGGAAATGCCCGAAGGCGTGATTGCGGTTCGAACCCCGGGCGCTAAGATGCCGTTGTGGCAACAAAAAGTAGGTGACGAAACAATGACGTAATGATAAAATTAAAAATTGAATAATTATTACCAACCACTACCACCAATTACAGGGTCACCTTGCTAGGATGTTAGAAAAGATTAGTATTAAGGGGGATCCTCCGATGGCCGCGCCATACATTTTTCTTATCCTATATACGTTAAACACAGACACTATTTGTTTAAAACTAATCATTTTATCACTTTTCTACACTGAAATGTGCTCGCGATTGACCTTCTTAGAAAATAACTTACAGTATATATTAAGAAAAACAATAGTGAAATCTACGAAAATTTTGACACTTCTTCTTCTTCTTTCTTTTTTATGGCGGTTTTGATCATTCGCCAATGTCAGCGTGAAAGCGTTTATTGAGTAGAAGCTCAGTAGTTACAAATACTATGCCCATATACAAGAGAAGATTGTGATAGTACAAGTATCTTTTTTCCTTTAAACCAATTTTTTCCCCTTTTATCTTGTAGTACTAATGGTTATACTGTTGAATTACCTAGAACAAATGACAAACACGGTTGCTATAACTACATTAGTATGTTAGTATTGACAAACATTAAACTTTTATACCATTAGTGTTAATAAAATCACACAGAATATATACATAAGGAGTGTTTGTGTAGGTTAAAAGTGAATCAAAATTTATAGGACGAGGGATGTCAGGAGGGAGATAATCATAGAGTGAACAAGATAATTTAGGACAGTTAAAAAAAATATGGTCGGAGGTTCCCTCATCCAACCCACATTCGCAGAGGGAACTATCCCTAATCCTCAGTTTGGCCAAATGTACTGGTGTACAAGCGTGGCCAATTCTAAGTCTACAAATAGTTGATGTAGAATGTTTATTAGCTTTATTGAATTTGAAAAACCATGGTTTTGGAAGGATGGCACATTGTATAGCAGCATAGTGTTTACCTTTTATATTTTGAGTGGCTTTCCATAGTGTATTCCAATTATTATTTAACTTCTTCTTTGCAAGTAACACTATGTCTGAGGAGTAAGTTAAATTACATGGCAAACCATTTCGACTGGCATTTTTAGCCATCAGATCAGCTGTTTCATTGCCCTTGATGCCACTATGACCTGGAATCCAAGCTAAGGAAACCTGTATGCCCTTGAGATGACATCTATACAATGTGTGTTTAATTTTGAGGATCAAGGGTATCTTATATTTACTTTGGAATTGGTTTGACAAAATTGCTAACAAACAACTTTTGGAGTCGGTAAGAATAACTGACTTATTTAAGTTGTGTGCTTCTATATATATTAAAGCTTCATGAATTGCCGTGGCCTCGCCAGTAAAAGTGGAAGAAATAGAAGGGCATTTAAAATTAAGAATTATTTTGAATCTGGGAATCCAAACTGCTGCTCCAGTACAACTTTCATCTGACTTTTTGGAGGCATCAGTGTATATAATAAGCCAGCCTTTCCATAAATTATCTATGACTCTACTTACTTTACTATTTGCTATAGGGCAATCTTTCTCAATACCAAGGTCGAGGTGGATATTTGGTTGGAAAATGATTGCATCATATGGGATATCAAATATGGGGCAGGACTTGAATTGTGATACTGGGTATGGTAGGTGGAGTAATGTTACCAAACTGTTGGATAAGCAGGGAGATTCTTTATGAGACCAGTAATGTTTTGACGAAATATATTCCAAAAGGAGGTGTAGTTTAGAAATGAGAGGGTGGGAAGAGAGTTGGTAGATTTTAAAAAAGTATCGGTCCGAAAGATATTGCCTTCTTAGATAAAGGGGAGGGTCCACACATTCAACTTGGAGAGCATTTATTGGGGAAGATTTCATTGCCCCGATGATTATACGAAGGCTTTTGGATTGAATCCTGTCTAGGATCTTTAGGGAAGACTTATTGCACGGTTCCAAAACAAAACATCCATAATCTAAATGACTACGGATAAGGGCGTTGTACAGTATTTTTTGGGAGAATGGGTGGGAGCCCCACCAGACACCCGATAAAGCGCGAAGAATGTTTATATTTTTTTCACATTTTTTGGAGACATAGTTGATGTGATGAGAAAAGGCTAGTTTGGAGTCGAGAATAACTCCTAAAAATTTTACACTCTCCCTAATTGGGATAGGTTCATTATTATAGAGAATGTTGATTTCAGGGACTTGCCTATGGCGAGAGAAGATTACAACACTGCTTTTGGGAACAGACAAAGACAAACCATGATCAGTTAACCAATCCTGTAAATAAGACATTGATATATTCAAGCGAGAACATGCTGCAAGGAGGTTATCTAGGGAAATATATATAGCTATATCGTCTGCATATTGGAGGATGTTACAGAAGGAGTTAACAGAAAGTTCTAAATCATAAGTATAGATAGAATAGAGTAAAGGACTAAGTACTGAGCCTTGTGGGAGACCCTTCCATACAATTCATGGCGGGAGTAGAGAATTTTGACTGTCAATATAAATGGATCTAGAAGAGAGAAAGTTAGAGACAAAATTTACTATCCTCACTGGAATACTCAGATTAAGCATTTTTTGCCTGAGCACAGGAAGAAGTACATTGTCATATGCAGACGAGATATCTAGGAAGACTCCAACAAGGTATTCATGTTTAGAGTAAGCTATACGAATATCAGTAACTAGAGTACTAATGCTATCCATGGTGCTTAAGCCCTTTCGGAATCCAAATTGGCTTTTTGCTAAAAGATTTTTGCTTTCAAGAAACCATTCTAAACGATTTTTTATTAGGTGTTCAAGGATTTTGGCCATGGTGCAAGAAAGAGCAATAGGGCGGTAGCTTGCGGGATCAGTGTAGGGCTTACCTGGTTTGTGAATAGGTAAGATAACTTGGGATTTCCACTCTTCAGGAGGAATACCGGACATGTAAATATAATTCAAAATAGAAAGAAGATGGGCTTTAGTAGATTCACTGCTATTAGTAATAAAAGAATAAGGGATTCCATCGATTCCTGGTGAAGAGTCTTTAAGGACATTAAGAACAGAATATAACTCCTCATAAGAGAAAGGAGAGTCAAAACTGTGTTGATAGTGCAGGGACTGTGATTGGAATACTATACATTCATTGTAAGATGGTACTGAAGGAGGAGCAAGTTTACTAGCAAAATTTTCTAGCCAATAAGACTGATCATTAGAATTTGTGTTTTCAGGGGCCGAAACTGAACATCGGAATTTTTTTATATTTTTCCAGACCAGTGATGGATGAGTCCTAGGCGACAGTGACTCACAGAATTTAAGCCATCCAGCCTTTTTCTTTTCAGACAGTAATTTTAATGTTTCAGCAGCAGTTTTTTTATAAAAAATATAGTTATCAAAATTCATTGAGCGGGAATATCTTAGTTCAGCTTCCTTTCTCTTCTTGCATGCTACAGAACAATCTTGATCCCACCAAGGCGGTGAAGGAGCATTATTTTTATAAGGTTTTTTAATGGGAATTGTCTTATTTGCAGCAGATAAAATAGCATTTTTGAAAGTAGAATACACCTGAAGAACATTCTCTTTCTGAACCGTAGGGAGGGATGAAAGTTCTTCATCTAGAACTGTGGAATACAGATGCCAGTTTGCTTTGGATGTGTTATATTTTAACCTAGGTTTGAATGGAACATTGACTGTATAGGAGTTAGGAGGATTGATAACAATAGGAAAGTGATCACTGCCATGGGAAATGGGTAATATTCTCCAAGAAAGAAGGGATGACAGGGCAGGAGAACAGAGTGACAGATCTACTGCACTTTTAGGATTTTGGAGGGGGGAAACTCTACGTGTAGGTGAACCATCGTTAAGGAGGCAGAGATCTAAATCATCAATGATGTCTAAGAATGTAAAAGACCAGGGATCACAAAAATGGGAACCCCATAAAGTATGGTGCATATTAAAATCACCAAGAATTACCATAGGAGGAGGGATGGAGGATATAATCCTCGTAAGTTCCGATAAGATATTTAGATTAGGTTCGGGAATGTAAATAGAAAGGAAAGAAATGTTATGAGCTCTAACTGCAACAGCATTAATTGAAGGACTATGAGAAGGAAGGGAAATTAATGTATAAGTAATTGATTTTGAGATAAGAATGAAAGAGCCAGCATGACCATCACTTCTATCATCCCTGAGACATGAATAGCCTGAGACCCTAAAATGGGAGCCAGGCTTTAGCCATGTCTCCTGGATGGCTAGGATAAGGGGATGGTATTTATTAATAAGATATGTTAGTTCGTTTTTCTTATTTTTAATGCTCCGGCAGTTCCACTGAAGTATTGGAGGGAAGGTTATTTGTTAAGGAAATGAGCTCAGTAAGTTTTTGGCGGAGGGCGAGTGGGAGATCCATGTCGCTGAAACGGGAAAGCATACTTATAAGCATGGAGACCATCAGTTCGCAGAGATTATCATTAGGGGAAATACTTCGCCCTATTATAGCACAACCATTAGTAGATGAAGAAGGAGGGGTATTTATTATTGCCTCATGGGCAGATTTATCATATCCATGACTAGATGCTGGATTTGGCGAAAGTCTTGGAGTGAATGTAGTCTTCCTGTAAGAATGAGATTGTGAGGGGACAACTGAAGGTAAAGGAGGGTTTGAAATAGGACAGGAAGTCTGATGCTCATATGAAGGAAGGGTTCTAGCAGTATCTGCATAGGATCTACGGACTTGAGGGAAACGAGCAGATGCTTCTAGATAGGAAATATTTTCCTGTGACATTGTGAGTTTAATAGATCGCTGCCTAGAGTGTTCAGGGCAGGAGGGATCTTTAGCTGTGTGAGATCCTGAACAAAAAAGGCAAGTGGGAGACTGTCTTGTGCATGATATACCCTCATGATTTTGAGCACACACAAAACAACGGGAAGATGATCTACACTGTGAGGTAACATGTCCAAAACGGCAACATTTGTGACATTGAATAAGTGGTAAAATGTAGGGCTCAACGGGCATTGAGTTGTAAAAACAATAAATATTAGAAGGGAGTTTCTGGCCGGAAAAAGTTAAAAGGAC